GGTGTCTGCCTACAACACTAGAGCACTTTGTGTGACAGTACTCGAGTTATCATAGTCACTTTGGCACATGTACATACCTTATTAAGGTAGCAGACGGGCCCCTTCCCCTCGGAACGGAACCGCCACCGCAGTTGTGGGACTTTGTAGTAATTTACATAGCGTAACTTTTTTTATCATAACACCAGCGAGTTAAGTTAGAGTCGAGCAGCCTTGTTACCGGTATGTCACCTTGACGGCGAAGGGAGGAGAAAGGACGAGGATGATCGAGGGGGGCGAAAAGAAATGTCGGTTGCTCTCCGCACATTGCCTCAAGGAAAGGAAGTTTGTCCAGTCATGATATGATACATGAGCGATCACTCGCTTGCGAGGGTGTGCTATTGGACTGGATAAGCGAGGTGTGTTTTCTTTTCTCTGCTTTTGCCTGGATGTATGGTTGGTCACGCACTCGCTCGTTTTGGATAACTTCACGGGGTGATATATTAGTATCATGTACTGTGCCCTCTGGTTCGGTCGGGACTTGGATTCCATGTCCCCGTTTCGATGGAAACTTCTCTTCCCCCGCGGTCGTCTAAAACGGTACGATAGCGTAATCGGTGACCTGCTCGGGGGTGGAATAATCGCACCCTTTAGTACACGAAGGAGAAAAAAACCGTGTGCAAACGCCATCTTCCTACACCGATACGAGTGGATAGATGAAATAGTTCTATCATACCCATCCCATCATAGTGTAATCTGTAAATTCCGGTTAAATCCGACTTAGCGCTCTCGTTCTAATGGTTCGATGGTGGGAGCGCAAGGGATTTATTATTACTATTATCATCAAGTACGTTTTTTTCGTAAATTTACGCAGCGTATCGTATCGGGTTGTTCTTACTTCTGGAAGTTGTCCTAATTTTGATTTATGATGGGTGGGTAGGGTATCGTAGGTGCGTTTATGGTTCGGTGAGAACTCGGGATCGTGATTCCGATTATTAGCACAGAGTCCTCGGATATTCACCGCGGGCACGAGATCTCACTCGTGATACCGACGCTGCGCTCCGGTACGAGTACGATACGGTCCTTACTGTGCGACTGCTACAAATATAAGATCGTGGGTTCAGAATGCGGCCTACTTGTACCGGCGGCGTTTGCCGGCCTTTTGTGGCGCCCGGACTTGGGTGATGTGTGTCGGCCTGGAAGGTTTAGACTATGGCATGATCGACGTTTTGTGGGGCGTCCGGGCCAAGACTTGACGCATGAGACCCGTCCTACGATACCGACCGTGGTGGTGGGTTTTTGAGCATTCCTTTTTTTTCTTTCAATCATCATAACTGCTTGGATCCAGGTCACATCTCCTCATTTTATTGTATGGTCCGGGTTGGGATATACTCATGTGCGGAAGGTGAGTATGACATAAGCAGAGATATTAGCCACTAGACTCTGACGAAGCCGCTTCGGCCCTCCTGCGGTACCGGTACTCAACTATAAACAATAGAACAAAGAGTCATCATCAATTTCGAAAAGAAAAAAGAAAAAAAAAGGTCAGGCTGCCCCAATTCCTTTTTCTTCCCACGCCAGGGGTTCAGGATAATTCTTCAACCCAGAGGTGAAAAGGTTCAAGGCCAGAAGAGGGCCGTGGGAAATCCGAACACTGCAGCGAGTGAGCTTCCACAAGCACCCATGTGGAGGAAGAGTAGGATTGCAACAAACACCAATGGGTAATCACAGGGGGCGATTACACCACGCGCCGGAGAGGAAGCCAATTTAAAATTGGGTATACTTGTACCGCATTCCAACATGACCATGGAAGAAGGGGAAGAGGGAGCTTATGAGCCGGAATCCTGGTTGGGGAGAAGCAAAGCATACCGTAAGAACCCCAATACCGGTAAAAGATCCTCGTGCTCGGACGTTCGACTTGCCTCCCTTAGTAAGGTCTGGTGTTTCTTTTTTCCTTTTTTTATCTGTCTCGGAGAGCAGGTCTTTTGGTGTGTTTTCGCCCCTTTTCCAGAGGAGGAAATTTTGGACTACCTTGCATAAGGATCGCCCATTCGAGTTCTCACGGTAGTATGGATTATGGGCTGCTTGTACAGTTGTTGGAGGGAGGAAAGGCTGGGGACTTGTAGCTTATTTTGCACAGCAGTGGAGTTGGCACATTGGCCAATTCTAGCTATTCGCAGTCGACTGCCGCCCACCTCGCCCCATCGCCCTCACCCCACATTGGACGGTCTACGATAGAAGCTAGGAGCACTACCGGTATCCAGAATCATTGGTGATCACTTGTAGTACCGGTATTCGCCCAACACCCTAATCTCACAATCAGAAACTATGCGTCCTCAGTGTTACACTTACTTGCGGTTTTCATTCACTACCGGCACAGCGCCAGAGCATCATTTCGGAGAAGCTTGTTTCCGCAGCAGCAACAACATGAGCGCGGGTGGTACAGTGCCTGTGCAATAAAGTATCTATATGAACTTCTCTCTCCCCGGAGATTCCTAGCTTCTCGGATATCTCTGCGGTGTATTCCGGTACTTTGTCAAAGAGACATACCTGTACTGTTCTTACCGCAAAAGCTCTCGAAATCGAACATCTCCCTCAGCCCCGTAATCTCCGGATTCATGGACAAACTCTCCTGAGAGAGATTACCCTCTTCCCGATACGGTATAAGATCAGCCCACTGGGCGCCCCGGATCTGGTGAACTGATACCGGTATTCCAAGTTCTGTTGACTTGTCGGGCTGGACCTACTGTGGGCCGATGAGCCGGTTTCCGCTGACCATCTAGTACGGGTAATTAGTTTCGTGAGTTTTATGGCACAGCAGGAGCCGGAATAATTGAACTCCGCACTAGGACATTGGAGTTGCCCCTCTTAGTAAAGTATGTTTTATCCCTTTCTCTTTTATCTGTCTCAACGGAGGACTGAGTCAGTTTCTTTTCGGGGTGATTCCACCCCCACCCTCACAAAGAAGGGAATTCTAGACGTCCCGGCGTAAGGTTTAATCATTTCCAGTTCCTACCGCAGTTAAAGGAGAATGGGAGACGAAAGAGGTAGAAAAAATAAAGTTTGAGACAGATGAACTGGATCCCGGTCCCGTATCACGTGAGACTTGGTATCGAGTTACTGGCACTCGCACAGGGGCTGATGCGTCGTAATATGACACTATACCGTACTTGTATGATGCTTGGTAGGGGAGTGTCGGAGAGAGTGAAGGTTCGGCCTGGCGGGATATGCCATGAACCCCTCTCTTCCCCGATCTCGGACTGTTCTTTTGCGGGGAAATTATTTGCGGGCGATGATTGTGGTGCTTTGGGCAAAATTTCGGTCTTCTCGTGATGGGATTGCTCGTACCGGTATCGCGGTGTGTGCTTGTACCCTGCGATACCCGGAGGTTCTTTTTCGGGAGTTTGCCACGGCGCTCGGGAATACCAAAGGAGTTCAGTACCGGCGACAGAATACCAGTGGATATCACCGCGTTGGTCCATGATAGCCTTGGTTTGGCGGGCAAACAGAATTGTGAACTTCGGTCAACGGGATCCAACACGTCCAAGATGCTCCAGGGAGGCGCTGACCTCTCTCGCGAGAGCTTTTTGTTTCTGGATCCGGAGATTAGAGGCCTGCGGGATAGCGAATCACGAGGGTTCCCGCCACAGTGGTTTGTTCGTTCGGGGGGGCACTCCCGGAAAGCGTAACTTGTCCGATGCGGGTCCCGATTCCGAGTGCATGATAGTTGCCTTGTCCTGCCCTTTCAGAAAGCCACTCGTCTAGTTACAAGGCATGTGGCAATATTTGACCAAGTTACATAATATCTATACGGCAGCTGAAGTAATGATAGTGGGTGAATGAGACTAAATCATATTCACGCCATCCAAACCATTTGCCCCCGACACATTCGCCTCGCGGTACACTGCTGAGGATAGAGGAAGAAGAAATAGGAACCACGATAAGGTCCACCAGTCCATCGATTCGAAACAAAACACCTCGAACATCAACCCCCAGTCAAGTCCACAGTATCCGCCACACATTCATCCCACCCATCCTCACGAGCAAAACTGGTTCACCCTCTTTTGAGGACAAGCGCGTGCAACAACGCCCCTCACCCCACTATTGACACCCATCCCGCAATACCGCATACTGTAGTCAACCGGCCTCTTACGAGTATTTATTGTACAAGTGCCATACCCTGAAACGACAATGCACGTGCCACCCTACAACTCCCCCCCTCCCCTACAAGGAAACTCGCATCGTGAGAACCCGACCGGCCGACCGACCGACCGCTTCTCCAATCCGGCAGCGGTTCGGTACGGCGGCCCGGCGGCAACACATGATCTATTTTCACAAAGTATCACTCGCAGAGCGAGCGCGACAACGATGTTGAATATATTTTATTGAATTCCGTTGTTCATAAACCTTTTCTTTCCTTTCCCATATCGTTCTCCTCATATATTGTTGCGTTCTTTTCGCAGTGTCATACAGTATGGCGATTTTCATTGGGTCCCAATTATCGGGCGGCTAAGCGGTACCAGGTTGAGTTATCTTCCATACCCTTTGGGATGGAGGCGCATTCTGATGTGTGGGCGATGCGTTACTAATGGTGGATGAGATCATTGCTACTCTCCATATACGTTCGGGTATTAGGCCTTTCCCTTTTGTTCCTTTCTTTCTTTCTTTCTCCAAGAAGTATTTGAGTTCATTTCGTATTCTACTACTACCTTTCTCTTCAAGTATCCGCGTTCGTAACGAACGGCATTTGATATGATACGATTATTAGCAGGTGAAAACGTGAGTGGCGGGGATGAAAAATATGGTTCGGTTCGGTGGTATTTTGCAGATTACCGGTATTTGGTTTGCCTTTGTTCTATTCCATCAGTGCACCGGTATATTCGATGCAACCCACCGCGAGGCCCGGGCCCGGTTCCCAAACAGTTGCACCTCCCAGTGTGATATCATACCGCTCTAAAAATCTTGGGCTTCGTGGGCATCCCCGCACTCATATGCTTCATTTTTTTCAGTATGGCAATCACAAAAGGCCTATCATGCTTTCCTCCTTCCCTCTCACCCCAAGCATCGAATAATCAAATAGCGAACAGCACCGTCCCACCACCATCGATCCAAACGTAAATTTTATACGACGAAAAGGAAGCTCCAAGCAAACTACTAATACAATCCCACCCCTCACCATCCACACATTGTATATACCGCGTTCTAAAGCAACCCCTGCTTCTGCAAATCCTCATAAACCTTCCTCGGCATGACATTCCCCTGTCCGTCCTCCATTTCCTCCACAGTCTCATTGGCCATCTTGGTCTTCTTCTTGTCATTCTCAAGTTTCTCCCAAAGCCTCTGTGCTTCGTCAATCTTGGTGATTTCGCGGAACAGCGTTGTGTTTGTGATTCCAAGGCAGCGGAGGCCGTAGGTATGTCTGTACTCGTTGAAGTGTTTATCGAACGCGCGGCGTCCCATGTAGACAAAGTTTCCGCAGATCTCGCAGGAAAACTCGACGCCGAGGCCGTGGAGCTTGTAGAGCCAGTATGGGATCGGCTTGCCGTCCCAGGCTAGGGGGAGTTTTAGGGGGTTGTAGATCTTCTCGTCGTCGTTCTCATCGTCTGTGTGGGTCTCAGCTTCGATGTTTGGATCAGCCGAGTTTTCTTCATATAGGGCATCTAATTCCATCTACATAAAGGTTAGCTTCATCGTTAGAATTGGTAGGGAAGGAGGGAGGGGTATGTACTTGTCTTTCACGCTCTGTAAGTGACTGTTTTCTCTCAACATTGGTCATTGTCTCATCTCGCTCTTTCGACATGACCTCCGTCAGCTTGACTATCCGCCATTCCCGCTCAGCAATGGCTTTGTCCTTCAGTCTTGACGCTGCACCACTACTCCCCCCTGCTTTTCTGGCTTCGCCGTTCTCAGCACTCCCTTCAGCCTGTTTCGCCGCCGCCTTTTTATGCTGTTTTCCATTGAAATGGTGGTCAAAAACATTATTATTTTTGAACCCCTTTGCGCAGACATCACAATAGAACTCCTTCGGGACCCGCATCTCCTCCTGCCTTGGTCCGATATCACCGTCACTCTTCTCTAATCTGCCCCATCCCACAACATTATCCTCTTCCCATGCCTTCTCAAAATCCTTCCCAGTCTGTTCAACGATGCCTTCCGGATTCTCCAAGGGCCGAGTCCTCGACAGGAAACTCTCGAGATACTCCGCCAATGCGCTGACATACTTGAAATACTTGTCATTCATTTTCTGATTGCGCGCGAACTTGTCGAACTTATCGAATAATGACAGATAACTCAAGTAAGTGATCCTCTTGACGCCGGGAAGATTTAAATAGTCCTCATGATTCTTAGTCAAGTCAAAGAACTTGCCATGAGCCTCCTCACCGGTAAACATGGTGTCTATCTCAGAGACATATTCTCCATCGGTAGCTTGTCGTCGCTTGTATGCGCGCTCTAAGTTCTCGACGGGTTCGTTGGGGTAGCGACGATGAAAGTCTTTGATTTGGCCCAGTTGGCGGTAGAATTCTTCGAAAGGGTCTTTGGACGAGAGTGAATCAACCTCTTTTTGCCGGGTTCTGTCCACCGCGCCGGTTAGCTACAGCCTTAAAATTTTGGTGAGTAGAGGAAATGTACCCATTTCTATCCGCCTGCGTTTCTAGCAGCCGCGCCGATTGCTGTTGAAACCTATCGACAAACTTTGCGATTTGGTGATCGCGAGTAAGGCGTTCTCGTGCCTGTTTGCCGTTAGCTAGCTATCGTGGTGGTTTTCGAGGTAGGCAACATACTGATTTAGGCTCTTCCAAGATTCTGTCTGCGCATGCTTGCTCGAGCCGTTCGAGATCCTCGCACAAACTCCGTTGTTCGTCGAGAATACCCATTTCGTCCTGTGGGTGATTGGGGGAACGCGGTAGCTGGCAGAATTAAACTAGGCCTCGTTAAATTGGGTGCTGGGACTTGGAGAGACGCGCAGGAAGGGTAACTTTAGTGCCAGCTTAGGTTGTACCGGTTACCCGGATGTGAATCATGGTCTCTCACTGTAGACACCTGTATCATGGTATAGACCTATCATAGGTTTCTATTGGGTTTTTCATTACAAGAGCGGTGGTGACACCCTATATAACAATTTAAGGACCCATCATATTTGAATTGACGTGCCAAATTCAGTTTACTCTTAGAAGTATGATAGTGTCTATTTGAATTGTCGCAATATTGTCATACTCAGCAGGATAAGATTGGAAAAACGACAACACCGAATAGCCAGAAACTATGATACAGAATACCAACTCGGAAACCCAGTTGCCGCCCCGTACCCTTAGTACGCAAACTTATCGTGCTTCCCAAATTTAACTCTAATGTCGAGCAATGCCTCGTGAAATCGTCCCTCTTAGAATCCACGCGTTAGCTTGTATTCGGCTTTGGAGTTTGGCAGGAAGTTCAGGTGCTTACCTCGCCTGGCACGTTTCAGCGCCTTTACTTGCTCATCGTCAAGCTTCACACCGGCCCTGAGAGGTTTCAAGAGTTAGCTTAATCACCAACTGCGTCTTAGAAAAGGTGATCGCACTGTTCTTCCAGCTCCTTCCGTGTAATCTTATCCTTGCCCTTCCCTTCTGTCCCCGACTTCTTCCTCTTCTTATTTCTCGCCTGTAACCGAACAACAAACGTCTCCTTAAACCCGACGGCTTCCGCATCACCACGAATTTCCGTAGCCCCACCAGCGCCCACCTCATCTACACTGAGAAATTTATCCCTGACGGTCTGCAGCGCCCACCTTCCACTTCCCAATTCATTTAGAACAGGCAAGAATTCTTCCTCCGGCGAGATGGCTTCCCGTGTAGCGCTTAGGCCCCCAAATTTGTCACACGAAAGATACCTTCCGTGATGAGATTTGAAAGAGTATTTCTCGGTACCGTGTATCTTGGTTGCAACCCAGACTTGCTTAACATCTGTGGGCTCCGCCGTAGATAGATCTTCACCTTCGGTTGAATCAATCGGGGATGCAAAGACTTTCCCTACGGCGTCGCAGGCGATACATATCGGTCTTGCTGCGGAAAAGGTAAGAATTATCGGTCCGTTAATATCCTCTATCTCCTCCCGTTAGCCCTTTCCCTCTCTTGCGAGTTCTCAGTTTCTCAGTGAACAAAACGAACCTAAGCTCTCGGAATCAACCCATCCCTCTGGCTCCTCGCTCTCCTGTTGTTTGGCAACTTTTGACGAAGAACTTTCTTCAGTGTTGCCATTATCGACTTCTGTCCTCTTCCTCTTCTTGACTTTCTTGTCGCCTTTGAATCGGAGTGCTTTTACCATTGTGTTGTTTGGTTAGTGATGTTCGGGTTTGGGCGGTTTCAGTTGTGCCGCTGGCCGGGTAACGACGAAGGATGGTCTCCAAGACTTGAGGAGAGGGGGATGGCAGCTGAAACCGCGAATTTGGCAGCAAGAGGGCAAACAGGGAGGAACCATCTGAACGCTGGTATTCAAGTGTTGAGCTTTTTGTATGGTACTTGTAGGTTGTGCCATCCGTGCTGTCATGTGACCTAGCATACTATCATACCGTAGTATCACCTGGCTTTCTCTGAGCTCCAACGCTCCAATAAACTCAAGGTTTAAGTTACTCAGAAAAAAAATAAAAGGAGCCAACCAACTTCCTACAATATTATGACCTACCAAAAGGCAGATCCAGTTCTTGTTCGTTTGGACGATTTGAGATCGGGTATGTGGAGCACAATATACCTCCATGCTTGGCTCCTGACGCTGTACCAGGAAATGTTGATCTTAAGCGCCTCGAGAAGGCATTTGGTCCCGAGTCCTTAGGAATAATCGTTGTTAGCGGTCTTCCAGAGAAGTTTATAGGGTTACGCCAAAGGCTTCTATCGTTTGCCTCACATTTGGGAAATCTTTCACAGGTAGAACTTGAAGCTTTGGAATGCCCTGAAGCAAAGTATCTAGTTGGATGGTAGTATTCGCTTTCTAATTTTCTCTCTCTAGGAACTTTGGTACTGATAGAAGTGGAGAAAAGGTCATGCGGAAAAGAGAAGCTATCAAATGATAAAGTGGATACATTGAAGGGATCTTATTATGCCAACTGCGCATTTTACAAAGACCCAAAACTAGATGGCGCAGATGGCGATTATCCAGATTTCCCCGAGTATACGAAGGGTAATATTTGGCCGAGGGAGGGATTGTTAGTGGGGTTCAAGGAAACCTTCGAGGAATTCGTAAGTAAAGTAGCAAATCCTTTCTCCAATTTAGCTAACGGTGACAGTGTGTAATGGTTATTGATATCGCTGGCCTAGTTGCTAGGGTGGGTTTCTTAAAAGTCTGGTTGTGTTGTGATAGAGCTGATGAGGTGAACATAGGCATGTGATAGATATGGTAAACACCCGCCTGTGCTTGACAGTGCCTAGAACAATTACTAAGAATTAGCATAGCATTAAAGCACATCTCCGGTTACCAGGAGGGATATCTTGAGCACGTAGTCAAGACTTCCACTTCTACCAAAGCCCGCCTTCTTCATTACTTCCCGCCTCCAGCTCTCGAGACTGGCTCCATCGAAACCGAGGAAGACCTCGACAATTGGTGTGGGACACATCTTGATCATGGCTGCCTGACAGGTTTTGTACACACCGCTACTGTCTGTTTCTCGGCCTAATGTTGTTACAGGTCTAACTTCTGCCATGTACGTGGACGAAGGCTCCCTAACTCTTGATATCTCTAGAGGCGTAGATCTCCCGGAGCTTGAGTCGGCACCGGATCCAGATGCCGGTCTTTACATAAAAGATCGTAAAGGTGGTGTCGCTAAAGTTGGTATTCCAAGGGACTGTCTTGCTTTTCAAACCGGAGAAGCACTGGAGGTTATAACCAAGGGCAAGTTGAAGGCTGTTCCACATTTTGTGAGAGGTTGCAGAGCTGGCAAAGCGGCAGGTGTCAGTAGGAACACTATCGCAGTTTTTACGCGTACGTACTCCGGTTGTGTGGAGGAAGGGGATGCTAACAATTTTGGGGCATGACAGAGCCCAATCTCTGGGAGAAAGTTGATGGGGATAGAGATTTTGCTACATTTGCGAAGGAGATTGTGGCTAAAAACACTGAGGGATAATCAAATAGCTTCTTCCATTGAATCAATATCCGTTAATCGCGTAATATTTCTGGAACAATAATCTTATCCTGATCTGGTTGTGAGTGATTCGTCGTGAAGGGGATAATTGGTGTCACGTGATCTTGAAATTTCCCGAGTTCGATGGGGGAAAACATTGATATTCAAAGGTGCCCCATAGTCTGGGGCTCAGAAGCCCCTGTGACGGTGTTATCGGAGTATCATATAATATGATATCATACTAACCCTGGTCCGTATTTTTGCCGCGTGATGAGGGATTCGGGACTTTTAATTTTTTTATGGTTGTGGATCATTTAATCATATCGCACAATTTGTATCATACTTATGATAAGAAATATTGCACCAAAGCCCGCATCTCATCCCAAAAGCCACAACAACCCTACAACCAACCCTTACAACCACCAATTGCCCCTCCACCCCGCCCTTACATTTCCCTCCTAATACTTTACACTATTCTCGTCACCACACCACACTCACCTAACCACCCGTTTACGCCCGCAGTGGCGGGATTGCCATGTCACTTGGATCCCGGATATCAAGTTTCTTCACGAGTCCTTCTGCCGAGCAAGACCGTCCGCGTCAACCTTCACCGATAGCGATCGCCTATGATGATCCCACGGCTATAAACTCTTCCAAAGCTTATAAACCAATGTTTGAGGATCATGAGACGTTTGAGGCCCGAAGACCGCCGTACCTACACGTGAGTTTCTCCTTGAAGAGGGAAAAAAAAGAAGGGGATTTACAAAAAGATTTGATGATTGACGGAGGCGGGACTGACCCTTTTCTAATACAAAGTGTATGGTAGCCGGCGGTATTGGGGGAAGTACGGGCGACATCTTGATGCATTCGCTTGACACCGTCAAGACTCGTCAGCAGGGTGCCCCTACGGCCATCAAGTACTCCACTATGTCTGACGCATACGCAACTATTCTCCGTGAGGAGGGTTTTCGAAGGGGGCTCTACAGTGGTGTCACTCCCGCTTTTATGGGGAGTCTTCCAGGCACAGTCATTTTCTTTGGTGTCTACGAGTTTTCAAAACGGAATTTGATCGATGCGGGATGTCCGGAGAATTTGGCATATCTATCTGGTGGTTTCTTGGCGGATCTCTTTGCGAGTGTGGTGTACGTTCCATCTGAAGTTCTGAAGACAAGGTTGCAATTACAGGGGAGATACAATAATCCTTATTTTAAGTCCGGATATAATTATCGGGGCACGATAGACGCAACTAGAACAATCATTAGAAGAGAGGGACCGGCAGCTTTGTTTTATGGGTACAAAGCTACAATTATGAGAGATTTGCCATTTTCGGCCCTTCAGTTCGCGTTTTACGAGCAGTTCCAGAAGGCTGCAAAATCGTATCGTGGATCTAGAGATATAGGATTGCCGTTGGAGATTGCTACAGCCGGGTTCGCAGGTGGTTTAGCTGGTGTCATCACTTGCCCTCTTGGTTTGTCGCACCTTCTCATTGTATATAGATTTTCGAAAGAATACTGACCCAGCATACAGATGTTGTAAAAACGAGGATACAAACACAGGTCCGAACATCATCCCCATCTGCGTCCAAAGCTGCTACTACACTAGTATCCGGTGCGCTGAAAGAGTCTCGGCAGTTTGCTACATTACAACCTTCGCCGTCTCCCCCACCTCCCCCGCCACAGCACAGGTCAATATCAACATCATCCCCGTCCACAACCTCACCTCCGAAGACCGGTCCATTAAAGTTCAATACGTCCTCTGTTTTTGAAGGTCTCAAACTCCTATATCGGACTGAGGGCATCCAGGGCTGGTTTCGTGGCGTAGGCCCTAGAGCCGTGTGGACTAGTGTGCAATCTGGGACAATGTTGGTCCTATATCAATACCTTCTAAAGCAACTGGAGCATTGGTCAGAGGCCCAGTCAGAAGGGAGTCCTTTATGATAAGATAGACATCGGAATCACGGAAGTTTGTTGGTGAGGGGAATGGGGTGACTTTTGTAGATAAAAAGGGATTTTTGCTTCTTGTAGCTCATAGACTACCGTATGTGACCCTCCTCTTTTTTCTTTCTATTTTTTGTCTTTCGAGTGGTGGGGTTTTACACATACACTTTTTTTCACTGTAAAGGGTTCATAGAGCGATATGAGTGAGGGTTTAGGTCCAGAGGATAGATGAGAAATAGAGAATTATGATAGGAGGTGACTTTAAAAGGCTCCGGGGGACCACTTAGTAAGGCAATTCATAATATTATTATCCTAGTGACAAGTAATTTTTGCGAGTCTTCTGAAGGTTTATGATACCGCAGATTTTTACCACTGCGTTTTGGTACCTTGCAGCAGGGCTTGGGCGTTAAACATAATTTGAGGGTTTAGGGTTTGATGGCTGACAAACTGCCTAAGCTCCTACGAAACACCGCCGTGCTTCAAACACCATGCTAAATCCCTTCCATCATCCACCCACCATCGTCATCCAAGTCGCCTTTATCCTTTTCTATTCATAATACTCATCTGTCGTCCAGTGTCTTCTATTTCATCAACCCTTGAACGATAAACTAAGCAGAGTCACCATAAAGATTTGATATGGTAGGATATTATCCGAAAGCTGTTTTTCTGAAGGGCATCGAGGTGTCTATCTTAGAGAGATAACCTTTGATTGATATTTGGATGGGTTCGATATTTGATACTAACGGGAGCAAATACAGGGTAATACTCAGTCTGGAATAGGCGGACCTCCAGCGGGAGATGGCGAGAAGGGCAAAGATCAAAAGGTAAGGTCCACTCTGCTTTTACTCATTATTGCTGGACCTCCCAACCCTATTTTTATCCATTCCATCACCTCCGGTTTCATCAAAAATTACCACAGATAATGCCGCCAGGCTAATTTCATGTGCAGAAGGAAAAGCCAAAGTACGAACCCCCCCCACCGACTACTCGTGTCGGCAGGCGCAAGCGCCGTACCGCTGCCGGACCAGACGCTGCCAGCAAGCTTCCAACGGTTTACCCCAATGCTCGTTGTAAACTCAAACTTCTCCGGATGGAGCGTATCAAGGATCATTTACTTCTTGAGGAGGAATTTGTTCAGAATCAGGAACGTCTACGAGGGAGCAAGGGTGAGAAGGGAGGGTTGGAGCAGAGGCAAGAGGAGGAGCGGAGTCGTGTTGACGATATGCGTGGGAGCCCAATGGGAGTTGGGAACCTGGAGGAGATGATTGATGATGACCATGCTATTGTCTCTAGTGCTACAGGCCCTGAGTGCGTTCCGCATTATGAGTAGGCTGTACTAGCACGTAAACTAATTATTGGGTTTTAGGTACTACGTTTCCATCATGTCATTTGTCGATAAGGATCTCCTGGAGCCTGGGTGTTCCGTTTTGCTGCACCACAAATCGGTCTCGATTGTTGGTGTTCTTACAGAGGATTCAGATCCTTTGATCTCAGTTATGAAGCTTGATAAAGCTCCTACAGAGTCTTACGCGGATATTGGTGGTCTGGAACAACAGATTCAGGAAGTTCGTGAGGCGGTTGAGTTGCCCTTACTTCATCCTGAGCTTTATGAAGAGATGGGTATCAAGCCTCCCAAGGGCGTCATTCTTTACGGCTCTCCCGGCACCGGTAAAACCTTGCTTGCGAAAGCGGTTGCCAATCAAACATCCGCTACATTCCTCCGTATCGTTGGTTCTGAGCTCATTCAGAAATACCTTGGGGATGGCCCTCGTCTTTGTCGTCAAATATTCCAGGTCGCTGCTGAACACGCACCTAGTATTGTCTTCATTGACGAGATTGATGCTATTGGTACCAAGCGTTACGACTCAACAAGTGGTGGTGAAAGGGAAGTCCAGAGAACCATGTTAGAATTGCTAAATCAACTGGATGGTTTTGATGATAGAGGTGACGTCAAGGTCATTATGGCTACCAACAAGATTGAGACTTTGGATCCCGCCTTGATTCGTCCGGGTAGGATTGATCGTAAAATCTTGTTTGAAAATCCTGATCGTATGTCTCTTCCCCTTTTCCCAATTTGAACGATATAAAGTTACTAATGCTTCCTAGAAAATACAAAACGCAAGATTTTTACCCTCCACACCTCAAAGATGTCGTTGAGCTCTGATGTAGAACTTGAGGAGTTTATCAATCAGAAGGACGATCTTTCTGGTGCCGATATCAAGGCTATCTGTACTGAGGCTGGATTGCTCGCTCTGAGAGAGCGGAGGATGAGGGTACAAATGGCGGATTTTAGGACGGCTCGGGAGAGGGTCTTGAAAACCAAGAGCGAGGGTGAGCCTGAGGGACTGTATCTGTAGCTGGTTGGCTTGTTGTTGCTTTGCGCGTAAATAATTGAGGTTTTACAATGGACTCAGTTGGCTCTTCATACCCACGCGTTGGTGCATGTGATAGTATAAGTTATCTCAATATAACAACTCGACCGTTTTTCCACTACTCATTCTCACACATGACATTTACAAGCCACCGAAACACTCACAGCTTTCACTACTTGAGTGGAAAAGTAAGTATTGTTTTTTCTTTCTTTTTTTCTTCGGGGGAGGAGCGCTGCAGGTAAATATACATTTAAGATCTTACGCAAAAACCAAACTTTTTTAGTGACTGTACAAGAAAGCTTCCTCCTCCCTATCTTACCATACATACCATACCGCATATCATACCATAACGCAATTACACCCCCCCCACTCTCGCCAAATTCCCAGAATCCTTAGAAAACCTGGGCGGCATCTTAACGTCCCACATGGGCCTCTCGATGATCACCATTTCCATAGCCTCCAGCACCTGACCGTCCCTCCAGCCTTCGCCCTTGATGAGGATCTCCTCGCGGTAGCCGACGGGCAGGAAGCCAAGCATGCTCTTGTACCTATTTGAGCTCCAGAACGCGCTCTTGACGCCACTTTTGCTGCGCTTCTTGTGCGTGCTCGCAAGGACGATAGCTCTACTGGCTCCGCCATCTTCGTAGCCTCCGCCTTCCCATTCTGAGTCTGTCACTGCCCCTCCGGTGTTGGTTTTAGCGGGAGCGGGGAGCGGGGGGTTAACGATTGGTCCGGAAGCCACGAGACCGCCTGTCATCACACGTTTATGCCCCGCTCCGGAACCCAATTTTCCTCTGGTGGCTTCGGCGCGGGGTTGGACTTCTGGTAGGTCCTTTAGAAGGTCAAACATCCAGAGCCAGTCTGCGGACCAGACCCACAGTCGCTGCTTCGCTTTCCATTGACTGGTTTCGAAGAACGTGCCCGTTGCGTGCGACTTTAGCGTGCGGAAGTCTAGTGGTAGGTAGGTTGGCGGGTTGCGGCGGGACCAGTCTGATAGTGCGCCCGTGGTCAAGTGGAGTTCTAGGATGTGGTTTTCTTTGGAGGTTATTAGGATCAGGCGGTCTTCGGGGTTGCTTGTGGAGGTGATGGTGGAGGTAGTGGGGGAGGGGAAGGAAGGGCGGAAGGTTAGGGTGCTCAGGGAGGAGTTGAGGCGTGGTAGGAGGGGGTTTTTAGGGTTGAGTTTCCAGGTGGAGTTGGTTAGGATGTAGGTGTCAAGGTACCCGCTCAAGTCTGAGACTGCCAGGAGGTTACTGGTGGAGGAGAAGAGGTGGTGGTTGATGGTCCTTGGGTAGGCTTCTAAGTCACCTTCGTCAATACGGTGGACTAAACGCTTTGGTTGGCGTTTGCTAGGGGTGTCTGCGGTTGGCGGAGGTGGGGCTCGAAAAGCTGTCTCAGGGCGACCTTGTCTGGGTAGTTCGAAGACTGAGGATTCAAATGTGACTGTGGCTTTAGACTTAGGACTTGCTGGTGGTTCTACTGCCAGTTTGGCGATCAGAACCCGGGAGTCGGGAGTGACTATCGAAAGCCATTGTCTATCTGGGGATATCCTGATGAGTCTTGCCCCCTCGTTGGCGAGGTCAACATCTTCTTCCATCTCGTCGTCGGAGTCGTCTTCGTCCTCTGGTGCTTCGAGATGTAGTGAGTCTGGAATAGTTATTTTGCTAACCCTAAGGGACGCAGAACCAGAAGAAGACTTAGGAGGCCTTAAGAGGAAGAGCTTGACTTCGGCAATTGTCGAGACTGCGAGAAGATGACCGCCGTTCTGAGGAATTGGTGACGATATTGATGCGGAAGTAATGTACTCGTCATTCTGCATTATATATTAGTCCTAGATTGGATAGAAAGCTGGTCGAGATGAACTTACGGCCAAGACAATCCTGCTCAAGAGCCTTCTACCTCGTCCTTCCTCTTCGCCAGGGAAGAGGTATAACTCGTCTCCTTTGTTTTCGTCATAGCCCAGTTCTTGGATTCGCCAGATCTTGATTTCTTGCTCCCACCAACTCATTATCAGTCGTGATTCTGGGACTGAAGTGACGATTGGTGATTGCGGGACTGCAGGGATCGTAAGGTGAGATTCATCTAAGAATTGTCGTAGAGGTATAATTATTGGCGTCATGTCAACACCTAAGTCTCCGTTAGAACAGATTCTGTTTAATCTAGGGTGAACGGAATATCACCTCCTGAAGCAATAACACTGAACTTTCCACATTCATAGGCCGCCATAGCTCTCACATCGTGTTTGTGAAATCGCCGGAGAGTGACTTGAGCCCACTTCCTCCCTTTACCAATATACTTGTAGAGAATAGTCTTCATATCCACACCTCCAGAGATAACAGTGTCCCCATTGATCCCACCAACCTCCAGCGTCAGACAATCCCCATCATGGCCTTTAATTCTCTGCTTGAGCGTATAATTATCCCCATCCCAAAAGCACACCTCCCCCCTCGAGTCTGCGGATACCAAATCCCCGTTTGGCAGCGCTCGAACAGCCCAGACCAAGACATCCCTCCCACGGCCCTTGTTCAGCGACAACCTGGAAACTACTCGACCGGAGCGAATATCCCACACTCTAATTGTCGAGTCAGCCATCCCAGCAGCCACCGTATGTCTATTCTGCCAGGCCATGGACAAAACCCTGGATTTACCAGTTCCGGCCCTCATCAGTGTCTTGACGTAACTTAACGCGCCTTTTCCACCGGCGGTCGAGAGAATTGTCAGTGCCCCATCCTGCATGCCCACGACAATCTTCTGTGAACAGGCCTCCTGGTTCTCTTGGTCGACCTTATCGGAAGAATGAAGCCGTGGCTGAGCAGCGATACTCCAGATCACGCCGCCATTGCAGTCCGTATGCGTGCGCGGGCGGCCGGTTACCAGGTCCCATTCTGTAACGACGGAGGAATACCCAATGCTGAAGAGGCGGAGGAGACCTCTTCCATGGGAATCATAATCCTGAACCCATGTGAGGTCTTCTATTGAGCGGTCTTTTCCGCCCGCAAGAGTGCTCTCATAGACCCAGGCACCTAAAAGGGGATTCCAGATCTCGATGGATCCATTCGCGCGACCAATTGCTAATCGTAGATTCTTGGGCGGAGGATGCGGTGACGCAGGCGTAGATTGGTGAGAGAAGGCTAGAGCTGTGATCTGTGAGGGTGGGAAGTCGACGAACCGACAGCGGTGGAGAGAGACGTGGGTCATCCTTTTTATTTATTAATTGAAGTCGGAATTGTCTCTTCCTGTGGTTGTTGTGGGTTCTTCACCCAGATTGGCAGTGGGGGGGTTGAGTTTAAATTCCCCGAAATTTTGCACCAAACTTTTTTCTTCTAGTTTTTGGGGCTCTGTTTGCCAAGATTTCGGCTCAGGTATGATAGGGGACTACCGGTAAGTGATGGCAGGGGCATACAAGTTGGGTTTCGCGGTAATACGGTACTGGCGTTATGCTTACGTGGTTTTCAGGGCTGTGGGGCAAGTCACGTGTCTCACAGGAAAAAGGAATGAAAGCGGGGGGATAATAAAAAACCGCTTTATTTTAGTGCCCGTTCGTCTATTTTATAGATTCGAGCTAATCTCTATCCAGCCTAACTGCTGCATTGCCCTCCACAAAACCTAGGTCAACCTTGTGGCCCACCAACTCTCTGATATTATTGACCTTATATCTGATCATGGTAGGGCGTTCCAAGCTCAATCCCCATCCGTGGACTCGCATATCTTTAGGTAATCCCATAGATTCCAACATTTCCGGCCGGAACATGCCAGAGTTGCCAATCTCAACCCACTTTCCGAGACCCTCATGATAACCGAAGATTTCCATTGACGGTTCGGTATAGGGATTGTATGCCGGCTTGAAACGCAGCCGATGTACACCCATCTTCTGGAAGAACTCTTGCATGAAGCCAATAAGATCTCCAAGTGTAAGGTTGTAGTCTGCAATCACACCTTCAACCTGATGGAATTCGGCGAGATGAGTTGCATCAACAGTCTCGTTTCTGAAGACGCGGTCGATGGAGAAATATCTTGCAGGTCGTGGGTTTTTGGCGAGCTTATGAAGCATGTTTGCCGAGATTGCAGTGGTGTGTGTACGAAGAACTAGACGAAGAGACTCCTCCTCTTTCCATGGGTAGCGATATCCGAGGGAACCAAATTTGCCTTCTTGATGGACCTCTCGTACATTCTCCCAGTATTCGGCAAGGAACTCTCCTGTTTCGTCATCTCTGGGTTTATCGGCGACAGCAGGATCTGAGATGTAGAAGGTATCTTGCAGGTCGCGGGCGGGATGCTGTTGGGGCACGAAGAGGGTATCGAAATTCCAGAAACCTGTCTCGACAAAACTGATAGTGTTGTCAGTTCGCTATTCATGGGCTAGTGACTGATTGGGGGCTTACCGATTGGTTGGCATTTCTGTGAAACCCATCTCAAAGAAGATATTCCTGAACTCGCTGCGAACCTTGTTTACTACAGGGCCGAAGTGTGAGTATGCAAGCTATAGCTGTTGGACAAGGAGATAATGGAAGTAGGCGGGGGCTTACGTGGGTGCAAAGCTCCACTGGGAGTATGTGCGCCCAAGGCAGCAAAGTTATAAGGCTTGAAGGGTTTGCCCTTCCAGGCGCCACTGGGGGCTCCAAGTAAGCAATTTGAACATGGCTCGTATTGGCAAGGGAAGAAGGAAAAAAACATGCCTAGCGATCATTTCCACTGTCAGATCTGTCTCTTCTTTCACAACCTCCAGAGCAAACTTTGGTCCCTTATCTATCTTGAAACTAATGCGCTTCTGCATAGTGATGAGCTTCCTCTTTTTCAGCTCTACTAGAAGTGCCGGCTCGGGCATAGTTTGCTTGGCTTTGATTAATTCCAATTGATCTCGAGTAGTGTCTTGAATCGAAGCTGCCTGGGTACAGCATCTCAGCCATTGTCTCAGATATTGAAAAACACTATTAGCTCCCCGGCGAGAGTTCATACCTTTTTAAGCAACCTATCACCATCCTTCATGATCCATCCCTCCTTGAAAGCTTTCCCCTGACCAACCTTCGCGGTAGTCCCACCAACGATTCTCTACCCGAATTAGAAGCCAAAGCAAACATTAGACTAAAACAGGGGCTTCCTACGGGCAGTTCACTGATTTTGATACCGTCCATAGCAGCGCAAACCGCTTCGTAGACTTTCGCCTCATGGCTTCCATCCCTTACAATTTCCTCAGCCTCCTCTGTCAAGACCGGCTCTTCGCGGTCGATTGTCTCATAGACGAGCATCTCCCTGCTTCGGAGTGAGTCCAGAGCTCCCTTCAGCACCGTAGGCTCAACATCTGGAAAGGCCTCGCTGGAGGCAAGAGGTAACGCTGACAAGTCGTTGAGGGAGTGTAAGACTCGAGTCGCTAGCTCTGTGGCCATGGTTCATAAAAATTATTGAAAGTTCGGAATTTGTAGGTAGCGGCCGACTAGGTTTTTTTTGGTTGTTTTCCAATAACTGGCTCAACTGGATGAGGGGTTCTGGTTGATAAGTTAAACAATTGCGGGGAAGGGGTTAATTTCTATGCCGGGTAACTACAATGAGAGATTTAATGCCGAAAGTTAGGCTAATTACCCGGTCGTAACGTCCAGCTCATCTCACTCTTGCCTCCTCCTTCGCAGTCCACTAAAAACTTCTCCTAGCACACATCGACGGCAAAAGCCAACGCTATTCAAACACTTCGACTTACCACACGACAAGCGATTCTCAACTAAAGCACCAATATGCCTAAGAATAAAGGAAAGGTATGTTTTCTTCTCCTTTTTTCTTCTCCTGCTGCTGGCGCTACCATTCAGCTAAAAAAAATACCACAAATATTGTACATTACGCAGCAGGTGGCTAACTACGCCGTGACAAATAGGGAGGAAAAAATAGGCGTAGAGGAAAGAACGAAAACGACAACGAAAAACGCGAGCTGACCTTCAAAGAAGATGGTCAAGGTATGCTTTCAAAGCTTTGGCTCTCTGCTCCCATGGGGACAAAACGATCATAATCAAAGCTTGAGCTGATGCCTCATAGAATACGCACAGGTCGTCAAGATGTTGGGTAATGGTCGTTTAGAAGCCTTGTGCTTTGATGGCGAGAAGCGTTTAGCGCACATTCGCGGGAAGATGCGCAAAAAGGTATATATTCTTGCCCCTCTTAAACACACCTCTTTATATCAGGTGCGTCGGGCCATGAGCTAACACAGTAAACAAAGGTCTGGATTAACCAAGGAGACATCATCCTTCTCTCTCTCCGTGACTACCAGGACGAGAAGGGCGACGTCATTCTCAAGTACACCGCAGACGAAGCCCGCTCTCTTAAAGCCTATGGCGAGCTTCCAGAGAATGCAAAGATCAACGAGACAGATACCTATGGTCAGTTACCTATTACCCTTCACTGCCACAATCTCACTCTTGAAACCAATATTGGTATTAATATATCAAACAGGCCACGAAGGAGCCGATGAGTGCAACTTTGAGTTTGACGTCGAAGCCGGCGATATCGATATCGATGCTGTCTAAAAAAAGAAAGAAGAAAAAAAAAGCATATCAACTAAACAAAAGTTACAATTTTCTTTTCTCCTTCCATGGTGAAACAAATGAGAAAATACTGCCCTGAAATATCTCGAGTAGGGGGAAGAGAGAGAGCGTGTGCAGTTCAGGTTTTCTTCTTTTTTCCCTTCTGGCGTTTATGATACTTTTCTTCTTTTTAATCCCTTCGTTCTCTCTTCCTTTACCATAAGGTGACTAGAGGCATAGGGATTTAGGGTGGGTCGGGGGAATGGGAAGGTCGGGGTAGTTGGGCCGGGCGGGCTGTTTTTCTTTTTTACTTGCGTACCAGTCCGGTGTGAATGGTCCGCGCACCGATAGCTCACTTCACCTCTTCTCTAAGCGACGTCTTTCTGTGAGTTACGATACATAAAATAGAAGAAAAAAAGAGATTTTGCAATCTTGTATAATCTAGAATTTGTCTTACCCCTGTTCTGCCTTTGATTTGTACGGAAGTATTGAGTTGGTTTGGATTCTGGTTTTCTGCTTCCTCGGTGTGATAGTACTTGAAATCTAATGCGCTCGAGTAAAGGTAATAGCCTGACGTTAGGTACAGTACTGGTACTGTACTGGGCTATCACACTCTCTCGAGTACGGGTGTAGACTATTTGTACCCTCAAGTACGATTCCACCGTACTGCCCCTACTTTCTAAATTACATGGTAAGAGAGAGTCTTGGTGCCCAACCAACACAGCCAGGCGATGGTCGAACGAAAGCTAAACAAGCCCAAGGAGGATATAAGCCCGTAGTAGGCTTCCTCTAAACCACCTCAGTGTGTGATGCCCCTGTCGGTTATAAGTACTCGTACAGTGCCGGTACTCACGAATGCGTCCAGCCCAACCAAAAAAACCTTCCTTTACGGTATGATACCAGGAAGTACCGTTCTCGTACAAGCATCCCCAAAACGACCCGCAGACAAAGTCGGCCCAACGGTGTCAGCACTACCCTTGAAGTGCACCTACGACCACTAACCCTGACTCATAAGCGCACGGTACTGCACTGTACTTGTACCGTACTATCGGTATCATTCGGGTTCAGACTATCGATATATATATCATAAGCAATGGCAAGAAGTGCTGTCGCTGTGCCACCCATACAGCACCGCATCCATAGACGGCTATGGTATCGATAATACAGTAAGGTATTGAATCCAGATCGAACTTGGAAGCAGGCGGGATAAACTGCTGTGATGTACTGTTCTGTACCAATACCGCAGTGCACGATGTGTATCCGGGGGGGGGGGGCGGTGAATTGAGGACGGTTGTGCACGGCCCAATATAGCAACTCCCGGTGCGGGAGAAGTACGTAAGGTACGATACTCGAGCGCACTATACGAGATTCACAGTGGGGGCTCTGGTAACCTGCGAACTTCTCACGTTCTCATATGTTGGGAGGATGGACTATGATACCCTTGCCCGCTTGGGGAAATATCATAGCTGTGATGGGTACTTGTAAGTTAACATACACCACCAGATCAAGTCACATCGACACAATGGCATATATACCCCTCTAGAGACCTCCACAACAAGTGCGTGAAGATTTAATTAACTAAACCACACTACTTGTACCGGTACTTTCCAAGTTTGATGTGAAATTCGGCGGTAGAAATTTTTTTAAAAAAATATCAATTCCCAAAAAACAGTACGGTATGGAAAAGCAGACAATGACCTTACCTAGCAACAGGCTTCTCCAGAAGATGCATGCATGCATGCGCTGCCACTATGTACAGTACCTGCGCTGGCAGAATTCACCTCAGCTTGACTTCACACCGGCCTGGCTTCACGACGACGTCTGTGCCATGATACTAAGGTACTGGTCATGAGAAAGCGCTAAATATTGTTAAAAATAAGGATATCTGAAAACGGGGTGTTTTGTTACGGAGCTTTTTTACTCTAGAATATATGATACCACGAAAACTCTTTCGATTCACTTTCTTCTGATAGGTTGCTAATATCTGGATTCAGTGATAAAGATTCTTAAGAGGGATTAGTGCCTTCCTGACACGGTATGGTCCGAGCCATTTGGCTGTTATTGAATCTCGTTAACTGGCTTTTGCAATTGTGCTAACCTGGCGGGCTGAATTTATCTTGGTTTGATATTGCCATTTACAGGAATATTTACGATACGGTGGAGCTAGCAAATCACAAGAGTTTTTATGGTACAAGTACCACGCCGGCACTTGTATCATATTGAAAAGGTTGTCCCATTTCACACATCCCCGTGCTCCGACAAAAAGTAAAAATAATAGAAATAATAAAAAGCAGATCCCTCTGAACATCTTTCTATATTATCTTCACAGAGGGTTTTGATCTCACTCCCTACATATCAAAACAACCTTTCCATATTTTTAGTGAGATGTGCAAGTTACAGCTTGAATATCTTAGAGCTCTAACAAAGAGTTAGTAAAACCGGTGGCAAAAGTGAGAGTGGAGAAATTTTGTTTAACCTTCTTCATTTCTATTACCCTTCTACTCGTACAACCGAGTCCAGGCTCAGTTAGATACTAGTACTATCACGTCTAGATTAGTATTTTTGTATTTATACTATTTTGCTCAGTTAGTACACATGAACAACTCTTATCAAGATTAGTTGAAACTCACCAGGCTGGTGCTAAACCATCCAAAACGGGAACGGAAATTACTATATGTAATATCAACTTGAGGAAACGATTTCAAGGCAAGAATTGAATGTTTAAAATAATGGTGATATAAAGGAGATGGCGGTATTTAGACTTAGAGGAGTTCCTGCCTTAGCTATATGGAACACTTCACTCTGACCTAAAACCCCTCAGTATATGTGCAGGTACTTGGAATGGGTTAAAATTTGCGAACAGCTGATTAACTCAGGCTACTAGTATACTGCGTCAGGAAAGCACCAATACTTTTTATGAACTGTTGCCTCTAAATCCCAAGGTTAGCGACCTAATGGGGATAGCAAATCACAAGAGTACATACGGTATAAACAGAATAATTTGATCCTGCAAACCCTCTTCAAGGGCTCGGCCTTTGGGGAGTAGAGCCTTTCTTGGTCCTCAGTATCAAGGCGCAATAACGTGGCTGAGATGAATCATACCGTAGCATGTTTTGATACTTCGCGAAGTGTTTCCGACAGCCTAGGAACTGCCAAGAGCCTCGGACTGGACCGGACGGCTTTCAGGAGTCCGTCCAGGGAAGTGATGTTTCAGAGCGGTTGTCTTTGGCCTGGACGGCGAGGGACAGAGGTTAATTGTCGGAGTTTACCGGATCATACAGGGCCAGGAGCTTGCCCATGGGATGTGGAATAGCAAAAATATTGATGTTTCCTTTCGCATAAGGGGTAAGAGGTGGTAATGATCTAAAGTGAAAATGTTCTGAGTGATGGCTGCAAATGAATGAGTGTGAATGTGAATGTGAATTGCGGGGAACTGAGATAGTTGTACAAGTAGAAAGAGATGTCGGAAGGGGGGTATGAGACGTATTTATATAGAGCTGGCAAATGATAAGAAACAGTGGACTCCTAGGCCGAAATACCGGTATGCCGCGCGTACCAAGCTCTAAACTGCATGAAGGGGAAACTGGCGACGGACTGTTCAAACCGAGTGACAATACATGATAATCGGCCCCTAACTTGCGTATAAAACGTGAAGCAAAAAGCAAATCAGATGATGGGACAGCCCAGAATACATTCTCTTTAAGTCTTGACCTCATCCCTAGGAGTTGTCCCCACCTCCTCTGTCTCCTCCGGTTCCCCCTGCTCATCGTCTTCAACCGAAACTCTTAACCCCCCCACACCCTTCTCAACTTCATCCACAAGGCCCTCGATGTACTCTTTATCAGGACCGGTAAGGGTTACCGTGTTCCTTTTTTTCCCCCAACGTGGATAACTCCCGACTTTGATCCTCCGCTCCTTGACCTTCTCCTGCAATTCTGTTAAAAAGCCGGCAATCTCGCTTTCCTTCATTGGAGTAGAAATAAGGACACGGGTTTGCTTGTTGTGGTTATCGACATTAAATTTTAAGAGTGGGCGTAGCCCTTCAAGGAGCTGCTCAAAAATGCGCGGGATGCCGGGGAGAATGTGGACGTTGTCTACAATGCAGATCGGGACCCATAGGTCTGGGGAGATGTAGACATTCCGCACATTTGGTCCGGTGGGTAAGAGTGCCATTCGCTGCTTTGCGCTAAGCATCGGGGAAGGGGTTTCCCAATCAAACGGTGGGTTCGTTTTGCTCGATTTCGAAAGCCTGCGCATTCGGGCCCAGGTTTCGTTGTGAAGGGTGAGTGGTAGGTTAAAGGCTTTGGCGATCGATGAGTAGGTGATATCGTCGTGGCTATTATGTGCCTTAATTATTATGCGCCTAGAGGAGAAGATTCGAAACATACGTAGGGCCAATCCCCCCAGAGGTGACCACGAAATCGTAGTCCTTGTTCATGCGTCGAACAGCTTCCATGATTTCCCCTTCGTCGTCGGCGATTACCTCCACCCGCTTCATTTCAACACCAAGGTCGAAGCAAAATCTCGCGAAGTAGTTACTATTCGTATCCACCGTCTACCCTACGGTAAGTAACCTCCTAAATCGGCGTATAAGGGTGGATGGATACCTTTCCGTTAAGCAATTCGTCTCCAATGATGAGACATGCTGAGGTGCATATTGGTTTCTCGGGGCGTGCGTTTTGTGGGGTAGTCATGATTGGTCGTGCTAAATGGAGAGTTAACTGGGAGAGTCGTGGTACGATAGCATGTAGATATGGGTTGTATCTTGGGTATTTAAGTACCATAATAGGGCGGAATGGTGTGGGTGTAGGAGTATCGTGTGGGCTCCAGTAAGTCACTGTACCCCAAAGTCTCGAAAGGTTGATGCTCGGCGATGTTATAAATGGCGCAGCCCGGTGACATGGGGACAACTGCCGTGGTTTATGATCTACACAAGTCGGGGATGCCCCACGTCCCTTCATGAACCTCAGCTTCGGTATTCTGTTCCCAGGTTACTGCGAATCTCATGACGTCGTGCCATGTTGAGGGACACCATCAGCCATCTGCTACCGGTACTCGTGTACAGTACCGGTATTGTCCATGTGGTTGTGGCCGTGCTGCCTTGGAGTGCTGAAGTGTGCTGCCAATAGACTGTCAGGAATGGTGCCTGGATGATGGGCGCCGTGCATGTTTTATTCACCTAGATTTGGTAAGTCGCTTACCCGAGCACGGCAGTCTAATTCAGACCCCGAACATCAACAGTTCCTAAGAAGCTGGGTCGCTCTTATACTTACCACGTTGAATAAAGACACGATACTGTACCTTAGGCTACGATAATGAGGGAAAGTCGCCAACAATCTATTGGCTTCTATCAAATACCGGCAATGATTGTAGTAGGCCTCCAACAATGGTAGTCCTTATTATCTTATCTTGAGTTCGCACTGCGAATTTCGAACTACGATGCGTCCACAGGTGAGGCTGAGGTTTGGTCTGGCTTCTTACGACAAGGGCGGGGATCTCATGATCTTTGAGGCTCAATACTGGTAATTGCATGCCAGCTCTAAAGTTAGAGGGTATCCTGACCTAATACCGGTAGTTGGAGCTGAGCTCTACATGTGGGCTACGGGGTACCAATATGATATAATACAGTACTCGATTGGGCAGCGAGAACCACTGCCTCCCTAGGAGGAGATAGAGTATCACACTGGTGCCGGTACTCGAGTATCGCAATGAATTAAGAATGAAGAATGCTGACTCATCTGGACCACTGTACTCGCTACCATATTCTGCCTGGCACCCTACTGAGCGCAAGTAGTCTACTCGAGTACGAGAAGATAATTTAATCTCGTGTTGACAAGCCTTGCGCTGAAGGGATTCCCTCGCGATACGGGGCTCCAGGTGGCTTTTAATGCTTGCGCCCCACCAAAGTTCGTCCGAACCTCACAGGGAAACTGGTTGCACCCACCACCGCTGACCAATCCCCCTCCCACTAAGCACGTGTCCTGCCATCTACGGGTAAACCCTGGCATCTTTCCCCCTCCAATCCGTAGACTCGTTCACTCATTTTCAGCACTGAGCCTCTTAATTAGCTACCGGCATGGCTGAAAGCCAAACCCACACAGCCCGCAAGTGCTTGCATTTCTCCTGTTCATGTCCACCCCACTAACGAATTGCAGAGTTGCTGGGGTTTTGGCATTCATTCCGTTATCCGTTGTTCTTCCTTGGAGTGGCTGGAGTCTTGGTTATAAAGCTTCGATCGTACATTCGAAACTTCGAGCAACGTGAAAGCAAGGGTTTAACGGCATTAAAGCCAACAACATGGGTCGAGGTTCCTGTGAGAGCTGGGTCCGAGCCGGTGGCTAAGACACACCCTAATCCAAGGAGGGTGGTTGGGAAGAAGAAGGGCTTGAAGCCAAAGAATGGAGGGAAGGTAGCGTTGGAAGTCGAGGAAGGAGAATTCGACATTCAGACTCTGATTTTTTATTCCACACTTACTGGGTCGACTCAACGGTGTGCAGAGGAGCTGAGAACCCGACTGTTTAGTGTTAAGGGTGAGAGCATTTATCCAACCCTTTCAATTCCCACACCAGCCAATTCACTTGGCTCGGTCCCTCTTCGGAGGAGCTTTTTACCACCGGTCATATACAACCTCGAAGAGGTGGGGTTGGACGACTTCTTTGTTGCGCCACCGAGCGAGATAGGGAAGAGAGTGAAATATGTTTACCTTTTGTTATTGCCTACATACGAAACAGAGGCTCCCATCCGTCCCTTCCTGGCACACTTACAGGAGACCCACCACGACTTCCGCATTGACACCGCCCCTCTTCGTTCGCTTGCTGGGTTCTCGGTGTTTGGCTTCGGCGACTCGTCAGAATGGCCAGCGGAGGAAGGCAAGTTCTGCAAAGATGCAGTTGAAGTGGATAAATGGATGGGGAAATTGACAGGAGGAAATGGAGGAACAAGGAGAATGTTCCCTGTTGGCATGGGAGATGTAAACCCGGCTGTGGGACTTAATAGTGCGGAGAAAAGTTTGGACGAATGGAGAGTCCACCTAGAAGATGCTATGCGAGAATATGCTGCGACTGGGGCTCTGGGTGATTCCGCTGATTGGCGAACGGCAATTGAGTCTGGAGACGAAGATTCCGATTTCGAGATTACCGACCCTGCAGATGATATGGTCGATGTTGAAGATCTCGGAAATTTAATCCAAGGAAACCCGACTGTTGCTAAAAGTGGCGGTGTAGTAAAGAAAAAGGCCGTCCTACCCGTGGATTTTACCACACCAACAGGAAGGAAGGCTTTGGAGGCCGGAGAAGGGCAGAACGCGGACCGTAAAGAGATGGTACCAAACGGGAGTGTTACATATGAAGCATTGACCAAACAAGGCTACACCATTGTTGGTTCCCACTCGGGGGTGAAGATCTGTCGATGGACTAAATCGGCCCTGAGAGGACGAGGAAGTTGTTATAAATTTTCTTTCTATGGAATCAAGTCACATCTTTGCATGGAAACTACACCATCCTTATCATGTTCAAACAAATGTGTATTCTGCTGGCGACACGGGACGAATCCTGTTGGGACTACCTGGAGATGGAAAGTAGATCCACCAGAGGAGATTTTCAAGGGTGTCGTTGAGGGCCATTACCGCAAAATCAAAATGATGAAAGGAGTTCCGGGGGTCCGGGCAGATAGGTTCAGCGAGGCCTTCAAAATCAGGCATTGTGCATTGAGTCTAGTCGGCGAGCCTATCTTCTACCCATATGTCGGTTTCCATTCCATAACTCTCCACGGAAGTCTCGTACTAAAGATGTGTTTTTTTTCTTTTAGATCAATGAATTCCTCCACCTCCTCCACTCCAGTAAAATATCATCCTTCCTCGTGTGCAATGCCCAGCACCCGGCCCAGCTTGCAGCACTTGGCCACACAACCCAGCTTTATGTCTCGATAGACGCTTCCAACAAAGATAGTCTAAAGAAAATCGACCGTCCGCTCCACCGTGACTTCTGGGAGCGGTTTCAACAGTGTCTCGACATCCTCCGTGAGAAGCGCAACCAACATAGGACGGTCTTCAGACTAACCCTAGTAAAGGGCTTCAACATCGAAGACGAAGTGCAAGGCTATGCAGACTTAGTGGAAAAGGGACTCCCCTGCTTTGTCGAAGTCAAAGGAGTGACGTACTGTGGAACATCGACAGCTGGAGAAGCAGGCCTAACTATGAAGAACGTACCCTTTTACGAGGAAGTCGTAACTTTCGTCGAAGCGCTTAACGCAGAACTTGCCAGGCGTGGGCTGGGGTATGGTATCGCCGCCGAGCATTCTCACAGGTTCGTTCCCCCTTCCCCCTGCCCTATAATGTGCTGGTGCAGTGGTTACTGATGTTTGCAGCTGTTGCGCCCTGATCGCCTCAAACCGCTTCTTTATCAACGGGAAATGGCACACACTAATTGACTACGCCAAGTTCTTTGAGCTGCTTGAGAGTGGGAGGGAGTTTGGCCCAGAGGATTATATTGGAGAGGCTACTCCGGAGTGGGCCAATTGGGGGAATGGGGGATTTGATCCGGCGGATCAGAGGGTTTATAGGAAAGGGAAGGGGCCCAAGGAGGAGGTTGAGGAAAGTGGCGGGTGTGGGTAGTGTATCATAATATTATGATAGTGGGGGGGTAGATGTACAGATACTGGTTTCTGGCGAATTTGGAATCGAGCTAGATAAAATATCACTAGAGAATCTACGTAGGTGCATGCACATGAATCAAATTCTTGGGCTCTAGATATTCACTTTTGACATAAGGTTGAGAGAGAAGAAACCACAGACAGTTGGGGTTAAACTTTAGTAGTATGATATCATCAAGGCACTCCAAGTACGAGGAACTGTGATATCTAAGAATAAGATACTAAAACACCTTTCGCTAATCCTAAATATACCTGAGTATGATACTTACCACTGCGAGCAAGCTCAAGAAGTCAATCAACGCCCGAATTCAAACATTATCCACCCTATCCCAAGCACCTACACACCCCAAACCAACAATCAGCCCACGAAACAGACGAAAACCCACTCCTCTCAAACGCAAGTAAAAAGCTCAACCCATCAGAAGGTCTCCAAGTTCATTCAACACAATTTTCAGCCGGTACATACTCATGTATTTGGAACGTTCTTCTCATCACAGGATTGTCCCCCCCCCAAGCCAGCCTATCTACAAAGCAAGCAAGGAACAATAGCGAAATGAGACACATACATACATTGAACCCATACATGCACACCAATATTACTACTGCAACCGCTACTAGCGACAAGAACCACCAAAAATCGACCTGAGAGTATTATTATTAACCGTACCCCCTACCATACCCTACCTCCCCCCCCACCTCCAGGTAAACTTCCCTAAAACACATCAAAGTCAGCCCCCCGCACTCGCAGCGAGCGAAATTAGAAGGAGGAAAGAAAGAAAGAACAGGTAGGAATCAGAAGGTGGTGATGCAAAACGTTTTGTCCACAAGCTTTTTTTTTTGCGTTCGGAACAGGTCTGTGTTTGTTTGGTATCATATCATCATGAAATCGACTCCCCGCGCGGTTGTGCGCGGAAGGAAGGGGGGTGGGGATGGGGGGATTGCGAGATGGATGGATTGTATGATAACGTACCGGGTAGTATGGTAAGGGGTTATTGGGTGTGGGGCTGGGTTTGTTGGCTGGTTGGTGGGTTGGTGGGTTGATGTTGGGGAAGGGGAGGAGGGGGTTTCGTGGAGAATTTATTTGATCGGCGAAAATTTTGATGTCGTAGGGTTTAGGGCTTCTGGTATGCCATTTGATCATTGATGGCGAGTGAGTTACTGTGATAGACAGGTATTGGAAAAGTGCTGATATTATCATAAGCGACCCGTCTACCCAAGGTTCTTGGAGAGCATGTGACCGATGTGGAACAGCACTGCAGACCTTCCTTCCACCACATCATTAAAGAATGCCACATGCTGGAGGACTTCAGGAGGGTGGAAGAAGACCCGGAGATCTTCACCCAACATAGGGTGCCGATTCGGCCTTGTGGAAAAACAACAACGGGGGGGAGGAGAGCTGATCAAAACGTTTTCTTCAGATATGATAACTAATTTTTCCCAGTTGGGATCGGAGGTTTTTTCCTCTTACAAAGGGGGACTCCAATTCAAGGGCATAATTTGTTCTCACTACCATTTCGGTCCGGATTCGATGGGATGATAAGCCCATCGTTTATCATACTTATTCTCTTATAGGGATGGAAGGGAATTTTCTCTTCTTATTGGGTTTTTTATAGTAGGTCATACCTTAGTGCTGAATTTTGCGAATGAACCCAAGGACTTGACCAAAAAAATAAAACCCCCAAAAAAACTTTAACGATAATTCCTCTGGTAAATACTGTGAAAGAATTTATACGTTTCAAAGGCCTCTTTACTTTTTACCTTATTCTTATTTTATTAGTGCTCTCAAAATCAACAACTGGAATCATGTTGCTGGATAAAGTTCGTGCAACGACTTCGATTCTGATTCCAAACCCCAAGAACGACTTTCCCGCATGACGTTAGAATGTGATGGAAAAACAAAAAAATCATAGACCAGTTTTGGTTTACTGTTTAATAATTTTATCGGGGAAAAAAAGAGGTTATATCTTCTCAAGAAGAGGTTACTCACAATTTTAGATTAGGTTGGCTGTATGCATAGGTTTTTGTTGTGCGGGACCATGCGATGCCGTGTCCATAGTTCCGCTTCACCCATTCACAGCAAGAAATGGTTGACAGTAATAACTAGGGGATTACTGAAAAAGTCTAGCTACGCATGATTGAAAAAGCCCAACCCGGCAACTCCCCCCACATAATACTAATAATCCCCCAGCCCCAACGGTGCATTACAATTTACTAATAACATTATTATCACACTCCCCTTCTCTACCATCCTTCAACCTCACAAGTCCCTCCTGATAGCAGGTCGCCAACAACCCAACCTCCGGGTCCCAAATCCTCTGCGTAGCCAATGCCCTCTCGTCCGCCGCCCACGGTGAATCAGACTCCATGAGGAGCCACCGATCCGCCCTCGTCTTCCGTGCGTTGTGGAAGTAGATGGTGTGGTCGAGACTTAGCATCATCCCGATCTGCCCGTGGCGAGCCTGGGGGTTCACTCTACTCACCGTGCCAATGAGTGAGCTGTCGGAGATGTATGCCAGGGCGGGTAAGTGTGCTTCCTCATCGAAGATGTTCCCGCGAGCGCGGATCCACTGTCGCTGGATTTTGTGCGTGGGGTCGGTCCCTGGGATGTCGCTTACTATTCCGGCTCTCCGGGATTCGAATGGGCCGCCCGCCTCACGTTTCCTTAAGAGTTCGGCTACTTCAGTGTCGACCTTGCCCCCGCTCAGCCATTCATCTATTGTCTGGGCCCCTGTCGGACAGTCTTCTGGAGCGGGAACATCCTTGGGGAACTTTATGGAGTGCTGGACTTTGCGTTTCGGCTCATCCGTGTCTTCTGAGATGGGACGGGTAAAGGAACATGTCGTTGTGAATATCGCCTGGCCCCTCTGTTCAGCGTACACGCTGCGGGTGGCGTATGACCGGCCAGAGCGGACGTTCTCGACACGGTAGACTATGGGAATGGTAGCGTTCCCGGCGAGGATGAAGTAGCAGTGCATACTGTGGATTTCCATCCCGGGTGGAACGGTCTTCTGTGCTACTGCCAATGTCTGAGCAATTACCTGTTGTATCCTGAAAGTCAGTAACTAACTCCTAACTCTCGACATCCGGAATCTACACAAGTACTCACACAGCCACCGTAAATCCCCCTTGCTCCAACCGGCTTATACAAAGCCCGCGTATTCGTAAACACCCCCTCGCCGAACTCCTCCAGCGTCGTTATCTCAAGATTATTCTCGATTTTAGACTTCTCAGGATCAGCCGGCCGCGGAGGCTTTATCGTTGCGGTGTCGGAAGCTCGTCGTTGCGCACCCATGATTGTTGATGAATAGCGATAAATTAGATAAATTGACCAGCAAAAACCCGAAAGTAATTCGGATGAGCCTGATATAGGAAATGGTGGTGAGGAGGAGTAGGAGAAAGATGGGGATGAGGAATAATTGGGAGCATTGCTCACCCCGTAATTCTAGGGGCCTGGGATTCTAGTTACGGTTGTGGTGCCGAGGTTCGGACATCTGATACAAGGGTCAGGCAGTAAGAAGTTGTGAGGTGTACTCGTACAACTGAACTTCCAGCAGGGGCGGTACCCGCACGCCAAGAAACATGACCCTAGAAGAATCTCTTCCCTTCGTCAACTTGTATCATAAGAAATACAACTGACGGATGAAGTGTGTAAACTCCAATTCAATCTATCTATCAAAAGAGCACTGGTGCAGGTCACATGAGTTCGTGTGTGTTGCTGGGGAACCAATAGGAGGTTTTGGCGCTTGTGAAAGGAGGAGCGCGCGGTGGATGAAGCTTCTTTTGGACGTCTGAGCCACCCTTTTTGGCGAGTGGACTTGCATGATGGCGAGATATCATATAGATCACTACAGAAAACCATACATCGGTATTTGATACGGCTTGATGTATCACAATTATTATCCCAGTATCACTATCTCCGCTCTAGCGAAACCCTAGCTTGGGAAGGAATACCGGTATCGCGGGATCTGTCAAAACGAAGATTTATTCACTTGACCCCCCTCACCGGGAAAGAACGACTCAAGAAGATCGAATTTCCATCGAGTGACTGGGCGTGATAACATCACATTCGGTAATTGTATGATAATATTATAATGCTGCGCTTGTACCCGTACATCTTACGTATATATTTGGGAACTGTGTAGAAATACCGGCATCGTACCTGGATTATTAGGGTGCTTGCAGCACCAGCACACACCTTCCAGCATCTCAATTTGTGTCTGCAGTACGCATAATTTCATAAGCCCTATGTTACGGTAGGACAATTGTGCTGCCATAGTACCACATGACGACATGGAGGTCTCAGATGGTGGTACTGTACAAGGCTGATTCGGATGATGATTTCCTTGGGAGATGCTTAATATTTACACTACCAAAAAAACCGGGTAGAAAAAAAAAAGAAAGACTTGGTCCTGCCAACATCTGTGAGTTGCTACAATGCTGGACTTGAGTAGGCCCCAAGAGCGTATTAACTCCTCAGTTTATATCATGCACCAGTATTATCCAGGAACTATCCGAGCTCGGCTTAAATTGGGTTTGGAACAACTGAGAGGACATCTAAAATCACTTTGTACGAGTACTAATGGGGGAAGTCATAGTGGAGATATTCCCCCTTTCAGCTCGCAGTTGAGACAAATATCAAGAAAACACAACAGACCTTACTGGGAAAGGCAACTTGAGCGCTTTCTCGAGATTCTCAATTGTTTCATGGGCAGTTTTTAGGGCCCGATACCTCGCGCCTTTTTCGTATCATACAATGATCAGAATTGAGGCGCAGTCAACTCGACTGCGACTATATAACCAGCCGTACCGTGCTGTTTGCACTGAGTCACCAAAAAAACAGTCCCCCCTCTTCCCTCTTTTTCCTGGTGAAATTAATTATTATACACTCCCTTAGCCTGATCGTACCCCACCCCACCGAACCCCACAAAACATCCCCCCCCCCCTCCCCCCCATGGATCAGGAATCCTCACAAGCGGAGCTAGTCGAGCACTACCGACTGGAAACACGCTTCTGTGAAGCTAGTGTCTGCCACACTACCTTCTCACCCTCCATTCGCACAAACGAAGAGGAATGGAGGCGTGCGCAAGTAATTGGAAGAGGAGGTTTCGGTGTAGTTCACTTAGAGCACGGCCCAAAGAATCGCGTTCGGGCTGTGAAAGTTATTGACAAGACGACATTCCCGCCCGGGTCGGATTTTACTAGGGAGTTGGCTATCATGAGTTTCTTGACAAAGGTATGTTTGTTTGTTTGGTATTCTTCTAGATAGAGTGTTTCTGGATCTGATAGCGAGATAGCATCGTGGGTCGTTGTTCGTTCAGTTCTTGGGCTGGTTCGAGAATAGCGAAAGTTTGTATATCGCTATGGAGTACTTTGAGAAGGGGGACCTGCGACGGCATCTCGGTGAACGAATGTCGGTGCCCACGGTAAAGCTGCTGGCCAGACAACTTCTGGAGGGTTTAAGTTTCATGCATAAGAGCGGGATTGCTCACCGAGATATAAAACCCGAGGTACTTATTCGCTCACCCAGCCTATCATACAAGCACAGAGATGACAAAGCTAAGTAAACCGGGGGGAATAGAACATCTTCGTAGTCTCCCTCTCTCCCCTCCGTGTAAAACTCGGCGACTTCGGCGTATCAAAGTGCATCAATGAACACACCATGCTTCACACGCTGATATTCACGCGTTCATATTCTGCGCCGGAAATCCTGGGAGTGTTAGATTCCTCGCTGGAGACATCAGAGTATACCTGCGCTGTGGATATCTGGTCTCTGGGATGTGTGATATTCGAGGCCCTGACCGGGAGCGTACTCTTCCGGATGGAATGCTTCGTTTGGCATTTCTGCTACGGAAAAGCCGAGCTTATGCTTGAGCCCTTGAGGGAGGCTGTGGATGGGGAGGATGGGTTTGAATTTGCGCATAGACTGTTGTCGCCGGATCCTCTGGGGCGGCCGGGAGCTATGGAGGCACTCCGTGATCCCTGGTTGAAAGAGCCTAGGATTAAGGAGGTGAAGGAAGGAGGGGACACGCTTGCCCGCGTTCGAAAGTTGCTACTCCCGATTCCTCAACGAGTCTTCACGCACATATCTCTCTTCAACGGAGTTCTGGAAAAACCCCTAACCCTATACCTGGGATCCTGTACTCGTACTAGTACTCGTGGCGGCGGCGGTGGACGAGGGTCCGCCGTGCGCGACTCCAACAATGCCGCACGTTGGCATGGGCTCCTCTACGCAATACTCGTCCGCGGACGTGAAATTAATGGAGAACTCACCAAACCGCTGCTACCACTAACCAAAGGTTCCAAAAACCTCCTCGTCTTCTGCCTCAAAGGACTTCTCGCACTGGCATCTATACTGCCCGACCGACAGAAATATCATCGGGATCACTTAGGAGGAACCACCAGCGACGCGATTGGCTCACTCTTCGCATCAGCCCTGGGACTTTGGTTGATGCAGGAGGCGTTCAGGTTGATCTTCAGGCTACTACTTCCCCAGCAGAGGCTCGTGTCGGTGGGAGAGAAGGGGGGCTCGAGATTTGCTGATGTGTTGACCCCGGATTCGTTGGTTTTCTACTTCTTGGCAGTTGCTTTAGGAGGAGGTTGGAAGAGTGGGGTTGGGACGGATGGGACGTATGTTGGAGGAAGGTCTGGGGGGGGCGCTGTTAGGATTACTGGGTTCGATTTCGGCAACTAGGGGATGCGTTGCTGACCTTGTGGGAGTGGTTGGAGAGCTGTGTTGGCTATGGATTTGTACTTGAATTATTAAGTTCGGGTACTGTACCGTTTGATGCTGAAAGTCTTGGTTGGGTTTCGCATCTTTGGGCAGTAAACTGAGATATCGGCATGGCCCAGTGTTTTCTTGCATAGTCATTGTTTTACCATTTCTATGTCTAGTCCCTCTCTAGAAGTTTGGGGTACCTAATGCGCGTACTACCAATAATATAATACTCGATTCCCAAGAGGGGCTGTCAATGATCGCTGAGCACGGCTTAAGTCGTACTCGTACTGTGCCGGGAGCTAAAATACAAGTAGCACCACGAATCCTTAATTTAACGCTAGTCCTCACTGGGAGCTTTAGCATACTATTTTATACATGATACCTACTTATATTATTTACTGTCTGCGCAATGTGCCTAACATTTAACATTATTTTAGTTAGTATCTGCTCTCTAGGGGAGGGCGTGTAGTTGCCCGAGGGGTCAGGAAGAAAAATAACCTCAAAGAAGGGAAAATATATATATATATATATATCTCGACATCGTCTTGCTATCCCTCACACCCGTGTTCGCAGAAAATACGATCAATAGGGGATATCAGTATCGTACAGCAAGGAAGAAGAGCTCGAAGTATCAGCATTTCAAGGATGCATATGCCTCTGAAGATTTCGCCCGGTAGTGTACAGTGGGGGGGGGGGCTGAGAGGTATCACAGGACGGCGACTAGTGATGAGAGATTTTGGTTTGATGGTATAATAAGTGGCCACACCTCAAACACCGGTTCGGTCCCGTCTGCGCTGGGGGGTATCATAATCCTGGGAATGCTAGCGCTATTACGAATCAAGAAGAGAAACAAAACATTTTTAATCATTCTCGTCTTTCTTCCAACACACCGCCGATCGCGGACCTCATCCCCCTCAGTGTATCAATCATATATGGTCTCTAGAGTCGGATTCAATGATACCACCTCGTAACAGGTCTGATTCATTCTTATAGCCTGATTGAGGGAGGACAAGTCTTCAGTCTCCCAATTTTCTAGGGATTGAACTCCTGGGCTCCTGCTACGGTAATTGATTGCACGGGGGTTAATTGGCTCTTGACGTCTTAACGACCCCTCCGGCTAGGTATTTCACGCAATATTACCATCCGAACGAATACTCATACCGCTAGTGGGCGGGTCCGGAGTCTCTTTCGCCAGGGGTCCGTGATAGCGGTATTGCGATACATTTATTAGACATAGAGTGGATTGTATCATATAGGAGCGGATATATCCTTAGGAAAAGAAGAGAAATCACAACCGGTCGTGAAAAATGGGTAAGCTTGATAGAGGAAAGTAGGATTTGGAGGGGGGGTTACGAATTACAGATGTGTAGTGCGGCTGCGAGCTGCTACGGTAGGCGCCCGTACATTGATGGGTGTATGATAGAACAGAGGAATGCCGGTACTGTGATACAATATTCATAACTTATGGCAATCTGGCGCAGGGAATCGCGTCCGGCTTTCGGGTCGGGAGTTACAACTCGTGTAAATGCGAGCCATGTTAATGTGTTTCTGGAACTGCTTTGGGGAATGTGGGATGGAGCACTGTCTATATGAAATCGTATCGCGTTTGGTAGGTCTATACGCACACGCTGCCCTTGGGCACAGTGTTCGGAGCTTGGTGGGGGATTATCATAGAGGGCTAGGAGTTAGGGGCGAGGCCTGAAAAACTTTCGATTGTCATTCGCCCCTTGTCACTTGACATTATAATATATCATAGGAAGGTTGATTTCTCACTCCTTCCCTGATTGGGGTACCGAAGCCAATATGGTATAAATCCCTAGTTAATCCTAGCTATTAGCCTTTTCAGAGCTAGATCAAGAGATATTAAACTATGTTACTCTTAGCAAATACACAAGTACCCAAACATAATATCTATTTTTGCGAAAACGACTGTCAACACCACATATTTAACCCCCTTGTCTAAACCTTGCCAGCCTACTAACTGGAGCGGCTCCGCTAACCAATCTGTAAAGAGATGAACGAACAAACAGTCAATAATAGTCATGGAAATCGCAGAGCACAGGAATACGTACTTCTCCAGTAGCACCGGTCCATTGATCGGATTAACGCTAGCATACCGCCTCATCCTGGTATCGATACTGTAAAACTCCTCCGCATTGTCAGACTGCAGCAAGTCGATCGTCTGCCTCAGCTCTTCAAATATGGTCGGTAGCAGCGGTTCGTTGAGACTATCCACAAACTCCATCAAGTACCGAATGTCCATATCCAGCGCCGCAACGGCGTTCTTGTTAATCTTTTTGACAGAGTCTGACATCGGCAAGGCTAGTATCGACGTAGCGATGTGACTCAGCGCGTCAAAGTAGATAAAACCCTTGATATCTTTTGGCAATCCCAAGAGCGTGGAACTCATGATGTTGCGCATCCACAAGGTCATTTGCTGGAGGTATTCACTGGGCTCTTCGAGTTTCTTGGTTGCCATCCAGTCGTACTCTGCTGTCTCTACGAGGTCGTCGATTTTGCTATTGACTAGTTCGAAGATGCGCTTTTCGGCAGTCTTCTTTTCGGAGCGGAAGCGCTCAGTGGCTTTTAGCGAGGTGCTGCCGCCGTGGTTGGACTGGCGTGCCTCTGCTAGGAGAATCTCTAACTCATGGCAGGCGTATTCGAATTGCTCAAGGTTGATTAGGATTTGGACGATTTGCCCTAGGTATTTGGATGTTAAGCGTTCGACTAAGGAGGTGCAGACTTGACCGCAGAGGAGCTCATCGAGGGACTGTGGCTGTTAGCAGATGGGGGGCGTGGGTGATGTGGGAGAGGGACTAACTGATTTAAGTTCTTCGTCGATGGCGCTTTGATGGGTGAAATATTCGTCGGAGAAGAAGTAATATTTGTTTAGGAAGTTTCGGATATCGATACAACATAGTGGATACATCTGAGAGAATGGAAGCACGATTGGAAACCTGAAAACATCTAGGAGTTAGTCATGAATCAGCCTATTGGTCTGTGGGGTGTACGCACTCTAACTGGTCACGTTCTTTGTCCGGCTTATACCAGCTGACGTTAACGACATTATCATATTCTTGAAGGGAGTTAATCGGCATGGGCATGTAATCATCGCTCGTAACGATCTAATAGAGCGTAAGCGTTTGGTGTAGGGGCTTGTGGCTGTCACCACTTACCTCTTTGAAATCAGCGCTGAACTCTGTCTTGAGCCGCTGAGAATACTTCGCGAAGAGAACTAATAAAAAGCCATCCAAAGCCTCTACGGAGTAATCCCAACTCTGGTGGTGAGGTTAATACCAGCGGCCCCACAAGCGCAGGATGCGGTTTTACTTACATCCATTGTCTGGATAAAGAGGGCAAGAACATTCTTGATTCTCAATAGAGCGTCGGCTTGTGTAATGTTATCCAATGCGGGGGTAATAATACTGATCGCCTTCTTGCACATTGAATCCCAGAGCTCATCGACCTACAACCCCCAGAAATGAGCAGCGGTTAGAGGAGTGTTGGGGGGCTTGAAGTGCGCACTAACATCGACTGCCGAACGAAAGCTCATAGTTTTCTTCATGGTAGCTCGTTCAATTATAGCAAAACCGCAGATATCCTCTAGCAATTTATTAAGGCTGGATATATCTTCATTTGATAGGGTCAATGACCCGGACAGTAGCAGCTCCTTTTGCTGTCTCCTGACGTTGGCGTAGGTGACTCTAAACTCATCCCGTTCCCCCAGAGCTTCATGGATGTGCAAACACTCAAACAATGGTGTAAAATTGATGTTAACATTTTCGTTGTCAAGGACATCAAATTCTTCTCGCTCATCTAAAACTAGCTCGATCGCAGAATTGAGTTTGAAGGAGCCTTTTGTGCGACAATTAGGACACGGTTACCAGGATAATAAATTAGATTGAGGGCTCACGTAGATATGGCGACTTTTCAATCCTTTCCTTCTGCCTTCGCCGTCGTAGCTCCGTTTGATCAAAGGCAACCTGCCCCAAAAGCACAGAGCTTTCACGAATCCTATAGAGCCAACTATTCAAGTCCGTCATAACCGCCTCTTTCACCATCCCTTGCATCGCAGGAACCGACTTCTGTATCATATCCGCAACATCATACTGCATCACCTCCTTAAGGTGAACATTCTGCAGTTCATCCAGAGTCCTCAGAGCAGCATAATGCTTCTTCTGCTTCAATAGGTCACCCACCCGGTTTGCCAATCCCAACACCTCCAAGCATAGTCTTAGAGCTTGCGTCGCTTCGTCAATATTTTGTCGGACGTCTCGTGAGTCCACGAGTGCCTTCTTCTGCTCCACTAGCTTATCCGTTGACTTCTGTATCGATTGGTTGAGCTTTAAAATCTCCTCTGTTAGGTCCACGGTCCCTTTCCGCACGTTGAGGAGCTGGTTCACGGACGAGACGAAGTCTTGGTGATTGTTATTGCACAAGCGCTCGATCTCGGATTCACGGTCGCTGGAGAACCGGTCGAGTTCGTCCATAAGAAGATCTTCGCGACCAGCAGAGCAGGCATCTTTTATGGTGCTGATTAATTGGTCGAGGTAATCGGTTTCTGAAGGGGCCAGAAGAATCTGTTTTGGTTAGCCAAGAAGAGGTACGTATAGGAGAACTAGTAGTGCGACGTGCGTGATTAACGGTTGAGGCGAGAGTAGTAGACATGATGGGTGGATGATGCAAAGCACTATAACGGGATAATAGAAGCTCTAGATATCGAGTGTATAATATAATCAAGACAATTCTTCCTTGCAAACGGGCCCTAGGATTGCCAAATTCGCCTGGGATAACCCTCCTGTGATGGTGAGTGACAGCGGCTCTGCGGGTTAAAATTGCCAAGGTATGGTCTCATAGCTAAATTACTGTCAGCCTCATTGTGACTGTTGCCCTACCGGTATCCAAGACCTATATATAACTTTAACCTTAAAGCTAAAAGTCACTTAAAGCAGGGTAAGTTTGTCAATTTCCTTATCAGGGTCTAGCTCCGGTAAAGAGCAAACCTGAAGCCAACTTCCCTAACTTCAATTTTTTCCCCTTCTCGCCCCATCCTTCATCACAATTACACCTTACATACCCCCTAACCAAAATTTACCCTTACGACAAAATGACCAACAGACCTCAACCCGCCGTTTACCTAGTCTCAGGCAGCGGGCCCACCACCGTCGCCATAGCACAAATCGAGTTGAGGAAAGTTTTCACCTTCCACGCCGTGTGGAAGTGGATTCTTTCCAAACAACCCCAGTATATTGGAAAACCCATGGTAATAGAGAACCGCTTTTTCGTCGAAACCGAGATCGTGGCTGATGATCAACAATTGCCGATTGGAAGCACTGGATTTCACCGCATCTTCGACGACGCATCCTGGGACGACTGCAAGATCGATCTCCTCGCTCACAACATTCCCGATTTCCCCGGAGCCGCAAACCGTAAGCCTATCTTCAGCGTCAGGGTCCTCCAGCCCGACGTTGACGTGTTTGATTTTCAGAATAGGGAGATTGTGTTCTACTCTGTTTGGAAACTGCTTAACATAATTAGCTCCCCCCCCCCGGACGAGGAGATGCTTCAGCCTAGAGGCCACCTCCTGGCCTATCTCCAGGCTCTTGGGGAGAGAGGTCAATAGAAGTAGTATCGTTATTACCATATCTGACCCCCCCCCGCGCCTGTTTTATTACAACCCAGCCCTACTGAAGCTCTACCGTAAAAGAAAATTAAAATTGCCACTTTGTATCAAATTAGAGGAAGAAATTGGCTTAGAAAAAAGAGGAGAACAAAGAGGAAAAAAAAGAGACCACGCAAAACATAAGTCCGGATCCTTCGATACCGAGAGCAAGTTGATACGCTATCAACCTTACCGACGATACTAAAAATGTACACAGCCGTAGCCCGCAAGCTAATTAAACCTTTTTTCTATAGCTAATAGCTAGCAATAAAAATACTTTCTAATCTCTCTTCATGCCTTCTATCCTTATGTGAAGCGAATTCGTGAACCTATAACTTAACCATGAGAATTGTCTAGGTCCTCTAAACTTTGGCACAACGTCTGATTCAACACGCCTCTTCTGTCAACTATAATCGTATTGTATCATGCTTTTAAAGATAGTGAAGTGTGGGGGGGGCAACACTAGAGGTGTTTTGATGCACTGATTATCACTCGGTAATTAACTCATCTTGCTCAGTCCCCGATCACCCATTCGGGCGGGGGAAAGGCCGGGGGCTCGGTTCGGTCATTTCCTACTCGCAATCTCGCTTGTTATAACTTGTCGGGTCAGGACGGGTGGTAATGGGTGCAAAGAAGTATGGTAAGTTAATCGTGTCCTGAGGGCTTTATCACACGATTTATGGGAATATTCAGCTGGCACCAGGAAGTTTCCCTTCTAAATTATGAGAATTGTTATGAGAAATCTTTGGAAATTTACGAGAGCTCAGTGTATTTCAGTATTTCTACAGTCTCAAAAATGCCCTGATTTTTGCCAATCTTTGGGTGGGATGGGCGATACACCAGAGAGCTGTTTCACACTGGTGAACTACTGGATAACAGGAAAAAAAAAAACTTTTTATTTCTTCATGGGTTGGTAGTTTAAAACTCCGATCTAGAAACAGTACACACTAGTGTACTATCGTATATCAGGCTGCTGATACAGGTGTACGTGAAACAAATTCCGAACGGAAAGAAGGAAAAAAGAATGAAGGGGAAGAAAAAACGATTGGGTACAGTGACTCAAGGCATAAACCCATATCTAAGACCCCCGTCCTCCCATCACCTCCAGCTTCCTTATATCTTCGAAACAAGCAATCGCCACTTAATGCTGAATGACGGGTCTGGGGATGTGAGCATGTCCACCGGGGGTGATGAGGACGGGAGTGATGGAGGGAGTGGCCTCGGGAAGTGAAGCCGGGGCTTTGACCTCGGCTTCAGCGGTGGCCTTGGGGGTTGGGACAGGGGCCGGCCCGTCAGTTTTGATGTCCAGGACAGTAAGACGATGCTTAGCGCTGCGTTCGATAGACCCCTCCGGGTCCTTAGCATCAAGGAGAGCCTTGGGAAGCAAATCGGCAGGAACCGTATAATCAGGGGTATCAGCTGTAGTGACGGGATCCTGCCTGAAGCGGTTCTGTAGATAGGCATGGATATTCGCGCTATCGGTACCTTTGGCTGTTGTGGTGTTGTCCGGGGTGATTGGGACCTGGACATAGCCCTCGAAGTGATCAGGAATGGGCTCATGAGGATTTACAGCGGGGGCAGGTTTGGCAACATGAGGGTCTACGGTGTGGATAGGTTTGGGAATATGCTTGCGGCGGGGGGCACGCGCCTTAGCTTCCTTGGGACGCTCGCCTTGCATGTTCCTCCAACCGCGTCTCCAGTCTTCGCCGCCGCACTGGAGGTGGGACTCAATGCATTTTTGGATTCTGGCAGCCTGGTTCTCAGTGTGCTTTTGGATCCTGTGACTAAAATCGAAGGCGGGGTTGTCTTCGTCTTCTTCGTCTTCTTCCTCTTCACTAGAGAAGTCAAAGGAGACATCTCTTTTTTCGATCGGCGCTGTATCCTCGATTTTATAGGGTGCTTCATCTTGTTGTTCATTTTTGTCGATCTCGGAGGCGTTGCAACGGCCCTTGATGGAACTTGCAACGCTATGGTGAGGTCGTACTTCGCTGTTGCAAGCACGGTCAATGATTTCGTCGTCGGACGGATAGTTGAGGACAAGAGCTGGCTCGGGGACTGCGGTACCCTCTTTCAGTTCGACGGGGACTTCAGCATAGCGAAAAAATGGACTGTTGACCCTCTCGCGGATGACATCCAACGGGAGGGGAGGTCCGTCTGGACGGAAGCGATTCTTTGGAGTCGGGAAGGCCAACGTAGATGTTATGACGGCCCCCAAGACGGGGAGTGCCAACACAATTTTACGGGTGTAGGGTTTGAATCTCATTGTAAATGGTTTGCGGGGTTAGGGGAGCTGGGGAAGGAGTGGGTGGATGGGGGGGGGGGGGGAAGAAGTGGAAGGAAAGGCAGCGAAAGGGCGGGGGTAGAGGGGGGTTTTATCAATTTTTTGTGGCCGTTCGGCCAAACTTACTTATTCTCCGCTGACGAATCCCGTTGGGTTTTGGAGCATCGTGTGAATTGCGAAAAGAGGTAATTTTAATGTTTAGCGGGTTGGATACCAATAAAGCGATTCTCCCAGATGCGGGTATGTAAACGTGTATTCTTCGAGCCTATATAACGTATCTCGCGCGCCAGAGGCCCATAAATAGAAAAGAAGAAAAAAACCATGATGCATCTATCATACCACACCCAACCATAGGGAGACCTATCCCTAGTGCTCGAAATAGGTTATCTATATCCTGGGGTATTGCCTTAGGTGCCGTAACATATTCCAGAATCATAGGCCGTCACTCTAGGTATATATTTGTATCGCTAGGCGCAATATCAATTGGGTTAGCTTCAGATAATATATCGGGAACTGGGGATTCGGTGTGCAACTTACAAATCCCCGAATCTGTCTCTTCCTTCTGCGGCCTTGTTGACCCAAACGCTGACACTCATAGCATAGCATCGGAATTTTGCCCAACCGTCGTCCCCAATTTTGACGTCCCCATCACTCCATGGCAAAAGATCGGTCCAAGTCTCGCCTCTATGGTTTTCACCAACAAACATCCTCTTTTCCCCGTCTCCAAAATTGCTCATGAGCACTGCGCATCCATCTTTTCTGTCATGTGTGCCTCTTCTTACCCACCCGATGCAATTGGGATCATCAAAGAAGTCATTCTGATCTCCGTACGCGTACAATTTCCTTGCCAGCACAAGGCTTGGGAGGGCTCCTGAACAGGCAGGCGGAGACGGGTCATTCCCCTTGATGCCGTATATATCTCCGAAAAACACGCATGGGTACCCTTCAGCTCTCAGAAGAATTAGAGCGTAGGCGAGTGGTTTGAAGTAGTCTGGAATTATCCTTTCGAGATCTTGGCCTGACTGTGTATCGTGACTCGTGACGAACGTCACAGCATTAAGTGGTCGCCTCTCCACCAATGCACCGTCGAAGATCGTCCTAAGGTCTGCATATGGGAGGTTGGATATCATGAAAATGTTCTCTAATAGGGGGAAGTCGAATAGCGAAAATCTGTGGTCCATTTCATCAAGGAATTTTTCAAGAGGCTCAACATATCCTTTCCAGTATTCGCCCACAAAGAACCAGTCCTCGCCGAGGGTTTTGTCTAGGTGGTCAATAAATTCCTTAAGGAACTCTAAAGAAAAGTGTCTTACGGCGTCGAACCTGGTAGAGAAACGGTTAGCGGAGGCTGGGATGATATGGAAGAGAATGGTCTACCGGAATCCCTTGAGCCCAAGTTCTTGAGTAACCCAAACGCCCCAGTTCTTTACATCGTTACAAACATCAGGGTTAGAATAATCAAGATTGGCAAACATCAGGTAGTCGTAGTTGCCGAGTTCGGACGTATCCACATACTGACACCATTCTTTCTCCTCATTATCACCTATGATTTTATATATTGCTGTCTTCTGATTCTCTTGATTATAGTCTGTCCCCGAGAAATGGTACCAATGGTATTTCATCTGGCTGTACCTATCTCCTCGAGTGGCGAAATCGAAGTATAACCATCCATCGATTTCGTATGGTTCAGAAATCACCTCGTTACGATCTTCCGGGTTTACTTCAACGACTCGGCACCGTTCAGTGTAGTCCGCATTTGCTTTGTGGTTCAAAACAGCATCGAAAATCAACCCGATGCCATGATGTTTGGCCGTGTCTCGCAGGCGGATAAGGGATTCCTTGTGCCCCCATTTGGTGGGCCTTGACCATTTATGGTCGAATTCCCCAAGGTCGTATAAATCGTACTACGGCTTTATGAGAAACATTGGGATGAAGGGTGCTGGGAGGTGGGGTAACGGACAATATCGTAACCGTTGCTTGATGGATTTCCTGCCTTGCAGGCTGGCGGGATCCACAAGGCAGTGATACCAATCTCCTTCAACTTAGGCACCGCACCTGCTAGGCGGTCCCAATGGTGCTGATCAGCAGGGGTATGCCATTCAAACCCTTGAAACATAGTAGGGTTCTCAGGGGTTGGGGTTTTTGGATCTAGTTCAACCCCGCAGGGTATAAAAGTTAGCGCTGGTCTACTTCGCGCAAAGCAATGGTACCCACCATTTCCTGGAGCTCCAATAAGTTCTCGCATGCTTTTTTGATTGTTGATCGAGAGCCCTAGATCTATAGAGGATGATAAGGACGCAGGGTCGATGTGAGACAGTCAGAGTTGATGTCCCGAGATTACTCGAGTAGATGATTTACTGATATCGCGAGCCGCCATGCTGCCTACAGTCGACTGCAGCTCCAACCAGTAACCCAGCTGTTTTGCCATTGTGATGAAAACACGACATGCGATGCCAGGGGTCGAGCTGACAGGCCTTGGATTGGTTGGATTTACTGTATGGAGGGCGATAACCCCGGTGCGCCAAGGAGCTCTAGTATCATACTTCGTGGGGTACTGTACGAGTACATAAGCCCCATCACATTTTCTATGAACAACGCTGTTTGTGCGGTGCGATGCCCTAGAATGAGCCTTGTTCGTTGAAAATGCAGCACTCAGCTTTCTACTATCATACTGTACCACAGGTGTTCAGGAGGAAAAAGATAATATCAACTTCTAGTACCACTAGAGTAGGGCGGTAGTTGTATTCAATTATCGAGTATGATACTTTTATGATACGACCAAAAATGACCGTGAACGCTCTTAGGAATCCTTTCTTTTCCGCACGCAGTGCAACAGCGCCAAGGCGGAGCATGGCAGAGAGCTAAACCACATTTCTGGTTGACGTGCTGTTGACCAAAGGGCGTGATGGATAAACATGAGATCATCTTTGAGCGGTAGTTTATCGATGAGATAATTTTGTAAAAGTTATACTTTCTGGGGAGATAGTTTTAAAGGTTGGGCTATATGCCGGATTTTAAATTTAGGTGACAATGAGAGTAACTGATGCCTTCAAGAAAAATAAAAAACAACGAGCCTAGCAAACAGCTAAATCCCTTTCTCCATCCTCTGTTTGGGAGCTGACCAGTTGAAACAAAAGCCGCCAGGGAGTATCATAAGGAATTATTTCTCACATAGAAGATACCGATGCCCTCATAGTGGAAATTTGAATCTTTGAAAAGGAACAAAAGAATGATGATCTGCGACTTTTGAGCAGGAACTATATCGTCGGAAGAGCTAGTGGGGTGCCATATGGTAGTCCTAGATCCGCTAACTAATTTACATGGGGCAACTTATGCAGAGCTGGTAAGTTTAACAAAATCACAGGCAGCGTAAGAGTACCGCACCAAAAGTACTAGTATGATACCCGACTTTCAGGTATGATACCGTACTTGTACAGTAGTTGGGTTTCCTCCCAAGGTTACCCGAAGGATACAAAAATTGCTCGAGTTCTAGTACTCGAGTATAGGCTTTAGAATGTGTACACAAAGGATTAGTCTAATTTAAACCAAGCAAAGACAAATTGATGTTTTGGCAAATCGTAAAATCATTCGCAACCACAGTTTCCTACACAAAAAGCGCCAAGACCTGGTTTCGCTTTTACTCTTGGTCAATGGACATCCTAGAAAATGGGTTATCATATTTATTTGTGACGACCTGGAAGAGAAAGAAGAAGAAAAGGAAAGAAACCAAGGAATTCTCTTAGATATGCAGTAAATTTTGAGTTTTGTCAATGGAGCAGAGGCGGTGTTATAATGTTAACATGGTTTGCGTTGGATGTAAATCACACTTCTACTTAGCGGTGATTTTTGTTACCAGCTTTCGTACAAGACCCCCCTGCCTAGAAGACAGTCTAGGAAGCTTGGATTAGTATAGGGATGTCTGGAAGAGACTCACAGATTTCGGCCTGGTCAACAATGTTAAACTAAAGGCGTGGGGGTTGCCCGAGGCTTATGTCTCTGGGCTTCATAGCTAATCTAGTGGCTATTGGTGATATGTGCACTTGCTATGCTCCTGGAATCTGGCTTTTGCCATCAAACTGGCTGCTCAGGGCCGGGAAACATCTTACTACGGCCATTTAAGTGAAATTTACTATCATATAAACCCTGCTTACATCTTGAATGACATTTCAATAAGGATGGCACTGCTCTTGGGCTCCTGTGCGAACGAATCCATCATCGGGGAGATAGTAATAGTGCCTAATAATATCGGATAGGTGGGATACAAGTACCGTAGGCTTTAGACTACCTCGAAAGGTTCTTAGTATAATAGGCGACTCAATATTGAATATCAGATGCGTGATGGGTGGGGAATTGCCCAAAGAAACGGCTACAGGATGAAGCGGTGAGAATGGGATTACCGGGAATGAAGAGGAACCGAATGCGAGAGGGTGGTGAACTAGACAACCGATGGAGATGCAAGCAAAGGACAGGCCAGTACATATACCCCCTTGGACACTTGGCTCGGAGACTGAACGAAACTCCACGAGCCCTGATAAAATGGACTGAATGCGGAGGATCACACTGGTAATAGCAAGAACCTAGAAAAGTAGGTAGGCAACCCACCACCATCCCAAACAATTCACAACAACCGTGGAACCCAAGCCCCGGATCTGATGTCCCACGCCGAAAGGACCGAAAAACACCAAGCCACAATAAACCTGATTTCCGGTGCAATAGCAGTAGGTATGGGGGAAGTAAAACTAGCACCGACACTCTATTCCTAACGGGATAGAATACGGAGGAAAAAACCCATAACCGCATGTCGTAGGTAACCAGACATTCAGAAGTCAGGTTCTAATCCTTCTTACTCTTCTCCGCAGAAACTATCCTCTTCAGCTTGAACAATCCAAACACACGCATCATTCGGAAGTCCTATAAGGAGTGCACATTAGCTCGGCCGCGGGATCACCTCCCGAAGGTGACTTACAAAAGCCGTGCTCCACAAGAATGTCCATATGAACCAGACGACTTTGGCCTTGTTACCTTCCCAGAACCAAGCTGGCTTCCGCCAATCTGGTTTCATCACCTGCGCGACGACGGAGCGGGCGTAGGCATCTCGGTCCATTGCGCCATCTGTAATTTCTCGGTTAGATGATAGAAATTGGGAGAGTGAGAAGGTACTGACCTTGCGAATCGGTAACTCTTTTGTGGAAGAAGTCTAGGATGGGCGTGTAGATAGATCCTGGCCGAAGTGTTGTTCCGTGCCTTGCTATATTTGTCTTAACGCCGCCAGTGACGATCTGTGATGCTTTCATTAGCTTATTTACCCCTAATTCCTCTCATGTATCGGGAACTTGCCACCATGACTTTGACACTACGGTCATCTATTAGTACACCTACAAAGTTAGATAATTCCGGCTGGGGTTAGGACGCACTTGAAAGGCTTCATTTCAACCCTCAGAGTATCCGAATAGCTATGCAACGCCCCCTTGGTAGCATTGTATGCGCTGCCAAACACATACGGGATGACTGCCGCCACCGATCCAATATTCACGATAGTACCTTCTGCCGCAATCAGTAGCCCGGAAAATTCCTGGACCATGCGCATCACACCGAAAACGTTAATTTCAAACATCGACTTTACGACGGTCTCAATGAGGAGGTCCGTGGCGGGTGTTACGACCCCAAGACCTCTGCCGTATCGGGAATCCCATTAGTATGTTAAAACAAAGACCTAGAGGGAGGCATGGTTACGCATTGTTGACAAGAACATCCAACTTCCCGCCTGCACGTCGTGACATCTCTTCGGCTGCTGCCCGTACACTTTCGGTAGAGGTAACATCTAGGTACAAAGTCTCTATAGAGTATTTTTCTGAAAGTTCCTGCACCGTAGTGAGGTCTCGAGCTGTTGCAAAGACACGATAGCCTGTTTTTTTCTTTCCCATTAGCGTGATAGGGCGAATTAAGTACAGGCATGTGAGACCTCTTAGATGAAATTCTTTGGCGAGAGAGCCGCCGATACCGGCTACTCCTGCACTTCGTGATCGTTAGCTGATAACGTTTCATAGCTACTGAGTAAAGGGACAAAAGTATACCCAGTTATTAAAACCGTCTTGCGAATATCTGCCATAATGTTTCCTTAAGCTTCTAATAGCGGCAGGAAGCCTTGTAGCTTGTACGCCCCTTAAGCGAGAGAATCAACTAATCAAGGATTCCTCCAGGTTGCTGATATCTATGGGATGTAAAATACTTGCAGATGGCTTTCCACTCTCCGGGGTTTAGGCAGCGTCTTGGAATGTAATTAGTGAGGCTTTAGATGAGTGCTAGGTGGTTTTTAGTCGCTATTTGTTCTGTTGAGGAGGTTGAGGTTGAGGTTGATGCCGCGGTTGTAGTTTGCATGGCAGTTCTGTGAGTCGAGCTACGTACGATACTGTACCGAGGCTTCGTAACTAGCATGTGGACGGGTGCGGGGGCCATGTCCTCGGGTTACAATATCGGTACGCTTTGGCATGCTGGTTATGCGGCGGAGCGACTCGGGGCCTTTGATGTCCTAACATGTTATATCGTCTCGAACTTATGCTGCATGGCCTTTCCCTCGAGGTGATTGGGAAGAATACTCCAGTTCGTAGAGTCCTCACTAATGAAAGGTGACCAGTAGTGCTGCTATAGCTGGGTCTTGGCCTGGCTACAACGCTAGCATAGGTGGTGATACCATTACACAGTACCACTCACTTTAATACACCACCATGTCTAACCCCCTGAGCTGATGAAAGCTACTTAGATCATTTATAAACACCGAGCTCGCCGAAAGCGAGCGATAGAGGCAAATAGAGATCACATCAAGTATTCAGATCCACCGGTTTTAGGGTGAATTAATATGGGTAATCGATAATGAAACAGAATAGGACTGGTATTTTGCTGTTGATAGGACCTGGCCAAGGTGCCTTTGCGTCAGCGAGTACACTGCCGTACAGACGGAAGTCTGGGCAGGGTGTCAGGAGCGGGTTGTGTATTGTGCCTCTGAGAGGTGAATTCCCCTAAATGAAGAAAGAAGTGGGTGGGAATATGATATGATACGATCGTGGCGGCGGGGAAGAGGCAGAACAAGAGGGTAACTTAGTTTCGAGGTGGGAGACGGGTAATCAAAGCACAAGTCTGTCGCCAAGGTGTGATGGGGCAGCTGGCAGGGGCGTGGCAATCGCTCTCATCTGGGGAGGCTTATCTGTAGGTGAATTCAATATTTCGGGCAGGAGGATTCAGAGATAATGGGGAGCAAACGCAACCATCCCAAAAGAGACCCAGTGCAGTGTCCGAATGGGCGCAGACAGGTTGCGAAGAGAGTTTTGTTTTGGCGAGTGCCCCACCTCCACGTCTCGCTGCAACCCCTCCCCTTGAGGGCGCGCTGCGGCTGAGTAGCGGGACTTTAATTGGATGATTGGGAACCCCACCGATCAAGAAACTCTTCTCATTTGTTCTTTGAACTATTTGTGCAACCGATTGAACTAAATGGTGCGCGAGGCTACCATGGAAGCAAGATATCGTACCTCACGATCAAGTATTTGGGTACCCCTCACTGAAATGTGAGCAGCACGGGGGTGGAGGTGGCTGAAGCTCATCCCCCTAAGTGAAAGGAGCTCGAGATAAAAGACAAGTCGTTACGGGCCTACTCTAGGAGATTTCGGATATTATCTAGAAGATAGTCCACCAACTTGATCCCTAATCTGCAATGGCCTACGGCATAACAACACTCCCCCAATGGCACGATTTCTACGGAACCGAAGCCCAAGCCTTCCTTCGTCAATGCTACCTCCCTCTGAATGCTGTTGAGATCAGAAGATCCCTTCTGAGGGACCACCTAAAAGCTTACGCCGAAAAAAACCTCTCTGCCAGAGCACAAACACTGCAGAACTCCGGCACCTGGGCTTCTATAGTCCAGGGAACTGCTGCCGCTGGCGCAATCCCCATGGGCAAGGTGTTGGTAAAATCTGGCGGTGCCTTGTTCTTCGCTTCAGAAGCTTTAAAGTCCTTCGGACTCGACGGGGAGATGGAGGCGGAACTCTTCGACATAGCCCTCAAGGCAAAGCTAATCGAGACAAACCCAGAGAAGATTCTCAGGAGCCACGTGAAGAAGAAGCTGAAGAAGGCCATAAAAAGTGGAGCAAAAGACTTTTGGGAGAAGGAGGATATGGCAGACCACATCAAGGATGAGTTAACGGAGGAATTTAAAGACGAGGTGGCAGTAGAGACGATTGAGGAGTTTGTGCACTTCATCCCGGTACTCGGGCAGATCTGGAGTTACGGCGTTGGGTATTACAGGGCTGAGAAGAAGTTGAATAAGGTGCTTGGTATGGTGATGGAAAGGGCTCGCGAGGTTCATGTTGAGGTGGTCATCCCGTTGATATGTCACTCGCTTGTGTATGTGCTCCTGATCTCGGATCTTAAATCGGGGTTTAACACTTGATATATACCGTATAGTAAGGATCAACCACCACTGCCGCCTCTCCCCCACACCCCAAGTTTACCCTCCCCCCGAGCGGAGAAGACGAACATCCCATCACTACCGGAGACCAAGTCTAGTCGACTAAGCGTAGCACCAGTATTGACACTCAACGCAGTGACAAAACCTCGGGTGTCGCGAAAACAGACCTCCTTCCTGGTCGGGCTAAGTCGGTTACCGTCAATTGGTAGCTCCCAAACCCTGCTCATTCTCTGCTTGTTCTCTACCTCCGTCGCCATCTTCGGGCTGGCGCCAGTGCTAGGATTGATTTTCGTGATCATGGTATTCTGGTGTATCTTTTCAGTGCTCTATTATTTCCGAAGGGCTATCCTTTTGACAACAGGATTGGTGGTTGTGACGGTGTTGGCTTTGGCTATATGGGAGAAATTGGTGATAAGAGATATGTTTTATGGATATGGTTAAGATGATTGGGGAGATGCTAAAGTATTTTCCTTTGGCTTCGAGAGCTTATCAATCTGTGTTGGGAGCTCTTTTTTTCTCTACAAAACCCAAATCCCCTACTTTTATGAAACTCCATAAATCTCCTAAATGTTAAGTCAAATACGGTAAACCTTTGTGCCTGATATCGCCGGGTGGCATGTGGTACGCTCTTCTATTCGTATTACAGCTACACGAACAGAATCGGTGCAGTAAAAGCCAAAAGCCTTACCAGTTCACTCGCATTTTAAAATGTGTCTGAGCTCGAAACTCTCTTTCTATTTAGCTGCCTCTACTTCGTGCTCATCTAAGTCCATCCGGTCCTTGGTCTAATTGGGCTGGTTCGCCTTTTCTCTGGAACCGATTGCTGGTGCAGTTTAGATGAGCCAGGAGTAAAAGATGAGCCGGGCCTTTAAATAGAGAGTTATTGGTTTTACAAATGCCATGTGGATTAATGAGACCAGGTGTTTATCACCGGGGATATCTCACCAAGATGAACCCCCTTTACTTAACGCCTGGGGGTTCCGTCAAAAAACTTTGCTCGATAACCTATCCTCGCCACTACTCCGAAAGGCCCAGCCCGCCCGCCCTGGAGGTAGGACGAGGCAGACGATGTGCGGTGGTCGCCAGATTCGACCAAAATAGTCGCTATTCGGGGCAGATAGGTCCCAAGATTTACTCCCGGATAGAAAGCAGATTCACAGCTTAGGCTTCCAGGTTTATACACCATGGAATCCATTCGACTTGCTTGTTCAATTTAGTTCTCGCAATTGGGATGGGGAGAGCTATGCTCATGAAACATCACTCGTGCCGTCCCTCATCATCCCCTTCTACTTCTTTGCCCATCCCACCCCTACCCCCAAGGATTTCTATCTTAGCAAGCATAATAGCAGGTCCAGTTCGTAGAGTTCTTCTGCTTTTTCAGGGTAGCAGACTTAAAGGGTTCGAGCTCAGACATATGCCATATAACTTGCATTCATACATAGTCACTCGTTGGAAATGCAGGCATTTGATGCACCGCAAAAAAACTCGGAGAGTTGAGCCAAGTGCGAAGTTGCTAGATTTTCCTCCTCTGGCTAGGTCTGGTGCCTTTTCGTCATTTTATGGCCTAGTGGGGTTGAGTAGCCCCTTGTTTCGGTGTTTTTCAAGTCTTTTCCGGGGTACGGAACTCTCGCAGGAAGAAGGACAGGTATTTGCGGCACACAATCACTGCACTGAGGACATGTATCTAAGCGTAGAGCCTAAATATCACTCAAGCAATGAAAACTCGAGAGATCATGAACTGCTTACGAATGCAGATTGGATGTGGGTAAATTGCACTGTAGCTTAATAATTAAAAACTTTATTAGATCAAATCTTGTACAACTATGGCATTTGGGACCTTAACTGTATTTTAAAAAAACATATCTACATGGGGAAGATGGAAACGCCCCATTATCACCCCTTCTGGGGCTTTCTTGTTATCTAGAGAGCAGTATTTCCTACCACATAAAATTACCTATTCTATCTGCACGCCCTCTTACTTATGATTCTTCTACCGATTAATCGGCCCTTTGCTGTCGGGCGACACCAATCCCTGGGGGTATACATATCCTCTAGGTCTCCCAATAACCCCCAGTTATCGGTGGATAACTCGCCCAATTTTCATGCTGGAACGGTGATTTTGGTATCAAATGAAAGCCATGGGGGAGCAGAGTTGATTCCAAGTATGCATATGAAGGTAGCAGGCAATGTGGGTGAAGGGGATCACACTTGTGGCCAAAAAGTACCCTATTGACAATAGGACGACGAAATGGAGAGTAACTAAGAGCCTATTGGTTGGTAAGGTGAGTGAATGGTAGCTGAAGGAGCTGCATGACAGGTGGCAATAGGGGAGAGACCTATCAGATGATATTGACTTTTATTAGCTCGTATTCATGAAGCAAAGAGGCGGTAATTTTCAGTATTTCAAGAAATTAATAGTAAAGGCAGAAAAAGAGGTATAAAGGAGGATGAAAGATGTAAAGTAAGATAAATTTAATGAAAGATTAAGGTAATGGAAGGAGGTTGGGACAAGTGAAAAGTCACTAGCAAGATTCGCGAGATAAACAACTTACGGATGCAATTAATGCCTTTCAAAAAGGCAAATACCCATCTATAACAGCAACGGCAGTCACATTCGATCTTCCAAAATCAACTTTGGCCTACCAGGTCGGCAGTCAGTGGGTATCACGCCAGAAGGCATATGTTGAACAGCAGTTATTGAATGAGGCTAAGGAGAGTGCTGTAGTTCGATGGATTAAGTGGTTGGATGATTGAGGATAAGGTTGATAGAAGAAGTGTAACATATCTGACTAGATCTTCTAGACAGTTACATTTATTTTTCATTGTATCATAGAATTATATTACTCAATTCTTTGAAGGTATTCTCACCTCCACCATCATCTTTCAGGACGCAATAGAATGTTGATAAAAGCGAACCTTGCATTGAAAAGTCTGAAGTATGGCACACATGATTCCCTCAGGCCTTCTCCAGATAGATTCTCGTTTCTACAAAACTTAGGTGCAGGGTAGAAGTGAGCAAGACATTTGATTAGATCTAGTATCGTAGCTGGATCAAATATTTTGGTAGCAGAATACGGTACAATACAAGACTTGGGTGTGCTGTACGTACTTAGAAGATCGTATCCTGGTCATAGCACAAAGTATCGCATACTCGTATGTGTAGTGCTGTTTTAGCGGTACCAATGTGCAAGGTCACTCTAACTTTCTCCAGCAAACAATAGAAGGTCTATCACTGGGTATCATATCTAGCCCAATTATTATTTTCTCAATTTTTTTACCCCCGCCGCTGTCGTCTATCCATTCCAACTTCTCCTGCGTAGCCCAGTCTCTATCACCCTATTTTTTGTAGCTGGTAGCTAACCCGACTACTCTTACGCACAGTGCTTATTCTATCATAGCTTGAATTGTGTAGTTTAGTGTATGGAACGTCGGGCATATCCATACAAACCTTGATTGTTTGGCCCGTAGATCGCTTCCCTTCCCCCTCTATCTCTTCTCTTGATAGGTTTGCTATCGAGTCTGAGGGTTTAGTCCATATCCCGCAACTATCCAAGTATTATACGGTGCTATACACCACAAGCATATTTCTATCACATCATTTAGAATACAGCTCCGATACTGTGCGGCCGAGTACACCGCAATAGCAAGGCAGTGTATAGTAGGTAGTGTCATTCCGGGACAAGGACCGTATCGCGCCAGCGTCCATATTTCTTCCCTTCTAAATCCTTTCTTCCCCACCTCTCGAGACCTTTATCGTATAACTAGATTTATTGGGGTTACTGTTCTCCTATATTAGAAGTGGTAGCCCTACACTTTCGAGGTGGAGATCATATTTCTCACTTGCGGGTTCGTGCAAAAAATCACGGGGAGGTAAATCATTCGACCGATGTTTAAATTAACCCGCAAGAGCACGGCCGCGACACCCCTAAATTTAACCAATTTTCTATCGCATCGAAGGATACGCCACGACTGCAACCGACCGGCAAGAAACTGCGGGGAAAGCTTGAACCAAGCCAGATGTCGGGAACCGATCTGCCTGAGCATCTCAGCGCTCGGGCAAGAAGCTGCTAAACACCCGGCAAGTACTCGTAGTTCAGCTTAACTTAAGTGCACAAAGGATAAGTTGTTCACCTACTCCCTCGTCACCTGGCCTGATATTGATCTCTAAATTATGGAAAGATCGCTCACCGTAATCGACGGAATATGTTGGACTAAATATCCACTCAAGTAAGCGCTACTCAGGAAACCTTGCTATCCCGATCATACTACCGTACTCGAGTATCCGGGTGTGGACTGCTGATAGGGTGCCGAGAAGGATAGGGTGGGGAGAATAGCCGGCTCTCCCTGATGACTCGGCCCTTCTCATTCAAGTTAAGCATCATATTTCCTCCGAGAGAAGTGTTGGTTCTCGACACCCTATTAAACGGTCTGGTACATCCCGGAAAAAACTCCGTCCTAATTGGATGGGCATAGATCAGTCGCCGAGCTCTTACATGTGCACTCATTCCCGCCACTTTACTGGTGTATTGCCACTGTGCTGATCCCGATAGTTACAGCCTCCATCCGTGCCGGTGGGCAAACCACCAAAGTTTGATGGCGATGAGCATGAGGCATACTCGAGCAGTCTACTGGCACTACTCGAGTAGTAGTACGAGTAGACTATCAAGAGATGATTGCCTTGAAAAGGGTGGTGAAAAAAAAAACCAAATAGAGGGCACTTTCAAGTTCTCTCGCCGCGATGACACTATTGATCGTCAATCGAAATCGCTTCATCCTCTCTTCGAGTAGGGTTTTATGGGGGGTTTCCTGAATCCAACCCGGCAAACCGTAGGATGTTTTCTCTACCCACCTAATCAAGTATTATGGTAGCCACATTTTACTTCCTCTTGTTGGATTCCGGCACAGTCAATGCGGCTGAGATGGAAAAACCTATGCGCAAGAACTAACACAGAGCCGGTACTCTAAGTACTAGTACCTGCGCTAGTGGATAAGACAGGCATAGTGCCTGGCTGATTTCGTCAAATAAGAGTTGCTACTGGCTATTTTGGGAGCCAATGCAGATATGATACAAAGCACTTGTTGTCTCATATAATTGCAGAAGGTTGGGTCAAATCACGTGTGCACAAAACGCCCCCCTTAGTGAGTACCGGTGCGCCCAACTTCCGTATCTCTACGAGTACTGGAGCAGGGAAGCTCCCTCTGTACCATATCTAGCCTGGGAGAAGAGAATATGCTGCGGTTTTTGAGGCCAAATCCCGCACAATCCACGAGTTAGACCCTTTAAAAACTCCCTCAGACTTTCTTTCTTTTTCCAAAAAAGGTATGATTCGTACCATCAAAAACCAGCACGAGGGGTTACCGTTTTCAAACGATTATACGCCTCTACTATGCTAAAATATGGATTCAAAAAAACCCTCTAAGTTATTAGGAATACTAAGGGGAATATCGTAGCGGTTGCTTTGAAGTGATTGCAGGTCTTAATGGTGAGGTATAATCGATTGAAAAGTCTCAGCCTGGTGCAGGTTTTGGATGGCACGAACCATACCGGTTCTCGCTGGTCTTATGGGAATATGATACCTTGGCAGAGAATGCGGTCCTTTTTATAAAACTCAGAGACTCGGGAGTACAATCCTAACGGATTTAGGCAAGTACAATACAAGTTCCAAAGGAAGAACCCACTTTTCTACCAGAAATGGTCCATTTGTGACTTAAATAGTCTGAGAATTTATGCTTTCACTAGTTTGTTGAAGCAACCGTATCCGAGTCTTACCAAGGACTTGTTCTGTCTTCGAGTATCAGAATGTCTTTATTCCCCTTCAAGAATGCCAACGAGCGAATTCCTAAGGGGTACGTGTTGACACAGCACTTTACCGCTGTGCTCCCGAGGCATCTAAGGGGCGGGCTGCTTATGGTATAACCGTAGGACAAATCGCAATAGCCTAATGTACTGGTACAGCCTCCAAGGGTACTTGACGGGAACCAGCCAGTGACGAACAGGGATTAGTAACACCTATTCCTTTGCTACCCCCGATTTGGTGAATTCAATTTTGCTCCAAACCCCCCAGGGACATGACTGGCAGGTTCCCATCACGCCCCCCCCGTTATTGGGGATTCTCGGGAATGGTGATTCGTGATTGGTGGCTGAAGTGCTTGACATGTTCCATCTTTATCCAACTATATAAGTAGCAACCTGCACGATCATTGGAGTTTATATAACCGAGAAGCATGGCCCTGAGAGGATATCCATTACCCCTCGTATCACTCCTTTGAACGAAGATAATTGATTGATCGTGTTCCGGCCTCCATCCCTGTAAGTACGGTACACCCATCAAAAAATATAACTCTCTCCAAGCAATGGAAGGCTTATTCGACATCGAAACCGCTACTCGGGGTCACCTTTTTATAGCTAACCCAATTAGCTCTCTCGCGTTCGGACGCGGTGGGGCTCTTTCACCATCTGGACCACTTGGTTGGACTGTACTCGGTACTCGCAGCCACCCGACCTGAAAGAAAGGCCATACCAAGTAAAGTATCATATGCAGGGTACCGGTTAGTCTGCCGAACTAACTTCCGTTTGTCTCAAGTGGCTTCTCCAGTTGGAGAACGGCGTTGTTCCAGCCACCACGCAATGAGTTGTCGAGTACTTATAGACTTTTTTCCTTGACCAAAAATTAGCTTCACTTACTCGCGGCAGAGGTAAAGTACTGTATTGGAATAACCTGTTATCTGAGCGTAATTGCTTTATTTGGGCATTCCCGCGAGCTTTTAATTCAGATCCTACTGGCTTGAGAAATGTCCGGTAAGGCATAATACGGTACCCTTTCCCGGGAGGACTCCCCAACTAATTCACCCCCAGGCAAAATCCCAATATTTTACCCCTACCGCAGGTACCTATTGGCCGCACAATTCCCGTTCCACGCACGGAATTTCGACGAACCAGAGCTTGACAGACTCGAGCACTCACCCTTGGTACGGCGAGGGTGGTGAAAATAATTACTATTTCTCAAGGTCAAGGCCGTGGAAACCATGGCGGTATCCCAGCTGGTCCTGATTGAGACCCATTACCAACTTCAACACCTTGGGGAGATGGGCTCTCCCCAGCACGTTCGAGAAGGAAATATTACACGGCATCGCGCCCGAAAGAAGCCATCCCTCCAATCCGCGGTCGGTGCTTTATCCCAGACATCTGTTCGCGGTCGCCTGCTCCCACCACTGTCGTGATGCCACAAATATTAATCGCCCACCTATACCCCCCGAGAACCAGTGCAAGTACACTACTTGTATGGTACTCGAGCGCCCGCACGAGTAGTAAGATCGTATGTCGCTGCGAGCCATCTTTTGCGAACACGGATGGACACGATGGCTCACAAATTCTCACCCTGGTGATGCTCTGCTTATTTCATCGTCCGAGCTGTGCATCTGACTTTCCGGCATTCGACGTAATTTCACACGTTGATAAATCCGGATTATCACTCTTCCGATCGTTCGATTGCGGACACACGCCTGAGATCTCCCAAGTGCAGATTGTCATTGGTTAACGTAAAGTGGTAATGCGGCCCTTCTGCACACACTTTCCAAGGAAAAGTGCACTTCTAGAACCCGTGATATGTAGTAAGTTAACCCAAGCGGTGGCGGGCGGCACGGGTGCTGATGGATGGAATAACAAGAATGGGGGGGCGGGTCATGAAGGTGTGGAAAGCATCGTCCCAGTTCACTATCCCGTTCACTGCTACACTCCTCAAGGTGACGTACCCAGAGAGGGGACTATGGTGGTCTGGAGCGGGGGCGAGCGCCCCGTACCGGTACACAGCCGCAACAACATCCCGAACTCTGTATGGCGCTCGCGTCCTCCACAACCGCCACTCGATCCCACATGGGGCCACATCACTCGGCGAGGGGTTCTGGGAAATCCGAACTGCCTCTCTTGGCTTGATGCCAGAGCAGGTTTTTTTTCCCCAGCTACTGAGGCGAAAGAGTTCAACAGACTTTTTGAGCACACCATATTCATAAGTTCATGTAATATTTTCAATCTATAACAGCTAAGATAGGGGGGATTACCCCGTATTAGACAAGTAAAGGGAAAGGAAAGAACTGCCGTATGTATGCATAACACCGATCCAACGCCGCAAGTAAAGAATCCTAAACCTGTACATAACTTTCTGCGAGTAGCGTATTCACCATACTCGTACAATCACCGAAGACAAAGAGGGGTACAGTGCTGGTGGGTCCAAGAGAGAAAAAAGGAGAAAAATAAAAGAGCGGTGGGGCCTAAAAAATCCTTCCAGAACGTCCTTCAGCTAGCGGGCAAGCCAGCCGTGAATCAGACATACGGTCTATAGATACCCCCTGTTGACTCGTAACTATTATCCACCCGTTTTGTGTGCTTAATTGCGGCTTCCTTCTCGTCCAGAGCCCTCTGAGCCCGCTTCCTGCTCTGGTGCTGTAGAAAGCAGTACCAGAATATCAGAGCTAGAGCAATGGTACATAGAGCGCCGATGACCAGGCCGGCGATTTGGGCGGGTGTTACTTTACTATATTAGGAAAAGGAAGTTAGTGATTTGTGGTTGTACGGGACCGGCGAGCGAGGGAAGGTCGGATGGATGAATGGACCTACTTTGAAGCGGCGGTGTCATTACTATGCACGCCGTTATCGCTATTATCACTATTACTATTGTTGTTATCAGAGTTTGAAGCTCTTGTCTCGAGCCGTGGGCCGGCGCCCGCGGCGGGGGTGCAGGTAGGTAATGCCGATACCGTGGTGAGGGTTTGTAAGATGAGGATGAGCAATGTGAAGAGCACGCTTGAGATCGAGGTTGAGGACATTACGAATTGGTGGTAGGTAGTTGGGGCGGTTAGGGGTGTGTTTAAAGTATATGATCGATTGAAATTTGGAGGATGTGTCCAGCGGTACCTGACCGTAGTTGATTAAAAATGTGTGGGAAGCGTGTATAAAATGAGCTGAAAGAATCGAAAGTGAGAGAGGAGTATGAGGAGTGAGTGAGAGGGAGGGTTATATTATATTATATACCAGATAACCCACCCATCCATCTCTTTCTGGATGCGCTGGTCTTCGAGTACCGTAGTAACATGAGGATGACCTGATCTAAATTAGTTGGATACCGTGATCAACCACCCCGCCACTAGATTAGTGAAAGAATCCCTCATAAGTGAAGCCCTTGGTTGGCAGACACTATGTTTATAATGGTATTGGTCTGATGCTCTGATCCCGACCTCACCAATTGAAACTGCAGGCGCCCTGGAGCGGGCATCAGTCCCCCAAGAAGGGCCTCCCCATGCCTCAACGGACAGGGATCCGGGTGCTTGAAAACGTACCAGTACGAGTACTCCGCTCAGCCATGGTAAAAAAAAAAGGGCGGAAAAAAAGGGCTGAAAAAAGGACCAACAAGATCCCGTGGGGTAGTGATCAGATAGTCAATCCTAATAGGAGAAAACAAGGCCTAGTTTGACACGAGCAACACAGAGTACCGGTAGATACCTTTATGATAGATAAATTATCTTACCAATAGGAGGAGGATACTCAAGAAGTGTAAGAATCTTAGAATTGGGCCCACCACAGACCACAGTAGTCCCATAGGATTTCTCGCAGCCCCCGGCAGCTCTTCAGAATCTCTAAATCTCATCGCCGGAGGAAAAAAGGCAGAGGTTGCAACCGGTTCAGGCTTCCAACCTCTATAATACTGGTTCTTATTTTTCCAAGTATCGGAGTTTATTAATTGGTCAATATAATCCCTAAATTGCCACCCCAAGTTTTCCGCCCTCTTCGACCACAGGTTCACAGAAACTCCACCCCGTCTGCCTGTTATCGGGTACTTCTTGCTGATTACGGGTGCCAGTAACCCGCTGAAGAACGGCTGCTTGAGTGAAAGTCCGAGCCCCGGGCGAAGAGAGGGGCCCAACAATAGCTCCTCAAGTCGTTTTTGCCCCCGAGAACAGCGTCTGCAATAGCATAGTTGCTCGTGCATTGGAAGAAACACTGGGTTGTGCTTTTCGTATGGCGAGGCGCCGATGAGCTAAAACACCCCCCTCCTACAAGGGTTCATTTTGAGGGTCTGATCATACTCGGTGACTAGAATTCCGTAGCAGAGGCTTGTTTGGTGGAGATGCGCAACAACTCAAGTGACAACTAGGCAGAAACAGAAAACCGTGATAATTCTACCCGAGTGAGCTCTATTAACTTATGGCTCAAGAATAAGCTATTCCCGGTTCAGGAATATTGAAAAGTGGCTACAGGTACAGGTTTTCGTTGTCATGATCCGTTTCAGTGCATGGCGGCGGGGTTGGCTCAGGTTCCCCCACGATTTTGCAACAGCCGCTAGGGCCCAAAGTCCGAACTGGAGGTATCATAGCTTGTCATATCATGCACCAGATGCTCGTAAACATCCTTAGAATGCATGCTTTCCCCTTCCCCCCCCCGCGGGCGGGGAGAGAAGAGCTAAGACTGCGGCCCGAATTGCCTCTGTTTCAACAATATTCCGAACAATATTCCTTCCCCACAGGCAGGGCAGAAAAAAAAGGCTGTTGCTCTACAAGTATCCGCTTTCTGCCTACTGCGCCGCATTTATGGAGGCTCTATGATTGGCTGAGCTCCCCCTGTGAGGCTCAGCCGTCGCGCTTCCTCCAAACACGTTGCTGAGAACCTTGCGCTGATGAAACCCGCCACAATTACTCGTACTCGTAGATTATGAGGGGACCCTGTGCGCCCATGGTGGCTTGCATATTAGTTTGCGATGCCGCCGCGTGGTCGATTAATGCCGGGGCTAACCTAACCTTCAATCGTGCATGGGGTGGAACTACAAGTTTCACACCAAAGTTTTTTCAAGGATCCAGAGTTCACTTATGACATGTTTCGTCGGCGCAGCCACGTCCGTAGAGTTCTCATACCATCTACCCTTCCTTATATAGAACGAAGCTGGTATGATATCATTACAAAAATCACCGGTAGTAATGCGTTTTGCGCCCACAGTAGCCAGATTGACAACACTATAGCACCACCTCCACCCCATCAATAAAACCCAAAATTTACTGCATATCCAAGAGAATTCCTCGAGCTTTCTCTTCCAGATTGTCACAAATAAAATATCTCAAAGAGCAATAGTGAAATTATCCCTTGACACTTTTCTGCATGAGATGCACATTTTTTCAACTTCGAGCGAATAGTTCTATGATATCTGCCAAAACATCAATCTGCCATTACTAGGCCTAAGTTAAGCTATTGTGCATGGAAATTTGGCATAGCTTCGAAGCCCGTACTACATATCATTGCATCTTTTGCATTGATTAGGTAACTTAGAGCAGGAAATTCAACGTACTTGAAGTCGGTTAGACTACCTCTGGCGTAGTGCGCTTACAACTACCGGTGGTGATATTTGTTATATCACCAGCTCCGTACCCCAATAGCGAATACCCATTAGCTATAACCGGGCAGCGAGAGCCCCTCAGGAGCTTCTCCCGGATATTCCTCCGGGGGCACTGTCGCCTTAGAAGAATAATGGAGAGGACTTGAGAAGCATCTCCAATGCCTGGTAGCACTCAGAAGGGTAGGTATTGGTACTTCCCCGATGCGGGTGTAGTGTATACCCTATCTCGGAGGTTTACCCGTATATCCCCACTGCATCATATCATACCTATCCAGCAGTAGTTTTTTACCCCGCCAAAAGAGCATACGGAGACTAGAATCTAGATGAGGTGGACACATATATGTCCCTTCCAAAAACTCCCCACCTAACTTAGTAGCCAAAAAAAAAAAAAAAAGGTGTGGATTGTCGCTTAAGTCACTACACCTTAATATTGGGGGGGTTTATCAGGTCCGGGGCACGGTTTTCTGGACCAAGAAAGCCTCTATAAAGAGTCTCTAGGGAGGATACCCGAAGATCGTCCCTACCCACCTAGGCTGCTATATACCCACCTGGGAAGTGTCTTGTCTTTGAATGCTTCTCGGGTGGTATGATAACAAGAGCTATCATAGTGAAGTGGATTTCTGAAGTGGAATTTAACGTTCAAACCCTAGGGTTGTCATTGAAAAATGAACGGAGAAAAGATATTAGGTTTCAAGAATGTTGTGAGGGAAGAAACGAAAGTTGATGGTTTTTTTAGGGGACTAATCGGGATTAGTATGATACATTTTCCTCATCCGCCTCATCTCGTAACTGCTATTATCCATGGCAACCGAAATGGACTCTATTGCTATGATAGAACGTAGTTGGGTGAGGGCTAGGGAGTTATCCCACTTTCATTACCCCCGCAAACCGTGCCCCGGACCTGTCAAGTCCCCCTAACGCATGATAACAGTTGAAGATTAGAAGAGTGCTTGCTACGGCCTAGCGGTCTGCTCAGGTTCAGGGACAATCCAGACTTCTCTTTTTCAGCCTGTACTGTATCATACATCGCTCGCTCCCGATCCTCTAACTATGATACTCCCATTTCCTTTCGGACACTTATGCCAACCGCATTATAGCGCATTTTCGACACTGTACGAACTCCATACCGAAAGACAATGGGGAAACACCTGCTATATACAGGTTTCCAAGTTCGGCAAAGCCACCCGAATTATCTGCTCATGCTATACCAGCCCTCATTCCTAATATCAGCCGTCGTTCCGAATCCCAATGTCATTATAGCAATATACTTTCAACCCGTTCCCGGCGAGATCGATGCCATTCATGGCAACAGCGTTCCAGCCACCGCCACGAGTGACAAATCATGATCCTCTCACAGGGTATCGTAACCACCGCAAACGACATCCGAATCGGGAACGTGCATACGCCCTGCATCTATGATAAAACAGGAAAAAAACACGTACCCGAGTATAATAGCATTATTATAGAACGTGTCATCCATACTTACCCGAGGAGCTCTAGCTCTGGTCTCACATCAGGGCAGAAAAAGAGAATAATAGAAGAAAAAGAAGAAAAAAAGAGCTTAGACTGGTCAGTGTTTGAACCCGATCAAGTAGGGCAACCTTGTGACGGGGTTTTGGGACTGTGCTCCAGTAGGGCATTTTGGTTTAGTCCTACTGGCATTTTAGGGGGGTAGATGACGAGAGGAGGGGGAGAGGGGGAAGAACGCGACGCCAGTTGTTATAGTGTATCATATGTACAGAGTACACGACCCCGCTATGTGTGTTCGAAATGCGGAGACAGCAATGTTTAGAAGATTTGACTCGGGAAGCCAGCTATTTCGGCGTCGGAGAACAAAGCGCAGTGTTACATAACGTGTGGAGAAAGTGAAGGGGCACTTTGGAGCATCATTCTCATATCATAGGAGTGATTACATATGAAGGCTCTTATTCTCTTCGACATATGGTTCCGGGCGTCTAGAGAGCGCACCAAATATTTTGTAACGAGGGACGCCTTGGCATAAAATTTTCTGTACAGAGTGCAGCCTATGTTCAAATCCAGGCCACAACACGATTGTTTTTATTTTTGTTATGATAAACACTATTGGAGAAGTAAAAATAGAAACCTCGTTCCCATAATACCACCTACAATCCTAACGCTTTGGCCTCCAATTCGATGGCATCGTCGAGGGTTTCGTCTAAGGGGGCGCCCTTCGGCTCCCATCCGAGAACCTTTCTAGCGCGCGAGGCCCAACCGCGGGAATTTGTGCCCCAGAGGATGTGGCCGAAGGGGTGTTGCTTGATAATTTCCTCGTTAGGCAAGGAGATAACTTCGTCTGTCTTCAGGTAGCCCTTAGCCTTAGCTTTCTTGGCGATTTTCTTGGCGAGCTCGCCCCACGTCTTTTACCCTTGTTAGCGCAGCCATCCAAGGAGAGGTAGGGGGCGACTAACGTGCTCGCCGTTCTCAGCAAAGTAGTACCCTTCTGGCCCCCAAGTAGCCTTTCCACCGTCAGGCTGAGCAGCAGCTTCTGTCAGGAGAAGGTAGAGGTTAGCAAGATCCTGGACATGGACGTTGTTCCAGATGGTCGCCCCGTTGGTCACCTGGAAGGCCTGGCCCCGCTTCAAAGAGCATTTGATCAATTCAGGGACTTGGTTGCTACGAATGTTTCCCGGACCGGAACCAGGACCGTAAATAGTGGGTGGGCAAACAATAGCAGTCTTGATAGTGTTAGAATTTGCTCCAATCACAATCGAATCAACATCTCTGTGTAGATGGCCAGACTCTGGGAGTGAGGTGATTTCTTGGACATTGTCAATGTCATCGTAGATCTTGTCTGAAGCGGCTTTGCCGAATTCTGAAGCAAGATTAATGTCGGGGAGAATTGCGGATCCGGAGGTGTGGATGAGGTATGAAGGCGTCGCGCGCTTTTCGAGACCAGCAACAATTGACTTTGCCGAGGGGACGTGATCGCAATCTGCAAAGTGGAGGACGATGTCTGCCTTTGAGGACTCCTCCTCGATTAAGGAGCCAGAGTCGAGCTCTCCGGAAACGGTCTTGACGTTAGGGTACTTTCTCGTTACCGCAGTGGCTTTTTCTGGGCTGCGGACAAGAGCGGTGATCTCGTACTCAGGATGGGCATTGATGATGACGTCGAGGGCGGTGCCACCAATGTAGCCCGAAGCTCCGGTTCTGGGTCAAATATCAGTGAACACCCACAATTGAGACAGGAAGCTGGTCGGGAAGACTCACACAAAGAGCTTAGGAGGCATTTTATGAATTATTGATCTGAAGGAGATAACCTCGGGATTTTTTTACGGTAATTCGGCGATAAAGAAGGGTCGTTGGTGATGAGGGAAGATTGAGTGGGGGAAAAGTAGGGAGAGCGAGCAGAAGCAATGGAGGGGACACCGGTAGTTTATAAGACAAGGGTTTCTTGAACCTTCCAACTGCATGCAATTGAACTCCTTCCGAATAATCATACCGGTACAACAAGCTGTAAATCACACCCACTATTCTACGAAAGATCAATTCCATCATGATACCTCCATCTTTTCTCCGTTCTTCTCTCCGCTCTCTCTGCTCCAATCTTGGGGCTGCTGGCCCGCCTAAGGGAAAAGTGTTGCGACGTCAATAGAGGTAGTGGTCAAGCAGCCGTAATTGGAAAGAGTGCAATTATTTTTGGTGGGTGCAACATCTACCATAGCTTTCGATACTGTACTGTACGTAGGATGCCACCTCTACTCCACCTTCTGTCTGGCCTAATTAACTCATCCCTTACTCGTTCAGTATAATAAATATACTGCAGACTCATTCAAGCTTGTGCGAACCCTCAACTAGGAGTCCTCAAAGTAGGAGGACAATGGCAGTCTTTCAATTCGGGCCATGGAGTTGATTGGCTAAGAGGTAAGTCGACCGAGGAATATGAGGGGCGATTCCCACTCCCCAAGTCGGTCCCCCGGCTCTAACGAAGCTTCCTCCTCCCCAAAGAGTTAGTTAGCACCGTGAGCTACGATATCATTACAGTATCGACCAAATCCCAGCTGAATCAAGGAATCACCGTTGCCATTCTACTTTGAGGACCCCTAGCGGATTCCTAAGAAACTTCAAACAAAGAACCTCTTTAACTGGGTGTACGGGTCTCCGTGGGGAATTCAATCTACTCGTACTCGATTATTTCAGGGAAAATATGACGTGACCAACGGTGAAGCGGCACATCACCGGGAATGCGGGATAGAACAAGCCAGTTACAAAAGCATCCATAGCTCCATCAGTTACCAACCAAATTGAATAAAACAAAAGGGAATAAATACACAGTGATTACCGGTATGGGAAGGCAGTCAGGAATGAATAATTATTAATGAAGAAAGAATCCCATGAAAGGTGAACCACTAAAGACAATATACTCGTAAGAGAAGAGAAAAAGTAAAGGCTCTGGATTGCATAAAACCATTCAGGAAGGAGCAGCGGCCGCCTTTCGGTCGGTAGGAGTAACATGCCGTTAGGCGGGGGGGCAACAAACAGAATCACTGTAAGACACCTTTAGTTCAATCGAGCGTCTTCGCTAAGAATACCTCCGCTAGCCGATAGCTTAGCGTTATGGAGGCAAAAAGCATTATTTCAATCAATGGTAACCAAATTTAGACTAGTGGTGATATTCCAGAGGGAGGTTTTGATAGGTGCTGCGGAAAAGCTTTCATCGAAATGTACCGGGGGTTGTGGGTAAGTTTGTCGAACCCGAGCTGATTCATTGTAGATGTTTCAGCCAATGATGAATAGGCTGCTGCCACTTGTAGTAATTAGTAAATATGTCACAATAGCAAAACTCTGAGTACTCGATCATTCTTCACTCCAACAATTAAACTGATACTTCAATTTCAATCACTGTAGTACCTGCTTTTTTTCCTTGTCTTCTTCACAATGAGAGCCAGAGGACGTCGAGGAGATTATATTCCAGCAGGAGGGAGTGTGAAGGGCCATGAGACTATACATGATGAGTGCATGCAAGTTATTACTTTGTGGGAAAAAGCAGGAATGACCTAGAAGGTAGGTAAAAAACAAAAAATTAATATTAATAACTATGAATCAAAGGTGAAAACTAATCATTGACCTGGAGCTGTTATATAGGAGATTGGAAACCAGGTAGATTTGAACTACGATAAACGTTAGAAAATCTATTTATCACAGTGCAAGACTTAATGGCAGTTCTACCGTCAATTAGCCTTGCTCTGGCTGGCGGTGATGTTCAATGAAGTTGAGAAGGCAAGGCTTTGTGCTTTTGTCACTTAGGATAAAAGGACTCACCATCTGCAATAGGAGGAGGTAATTATAGAAATGGGGTATGCCTACTCTGTCCGGATATTGAGAGATGTTATAGTATCTATGGGATATCATAAGCATCTCCCAAGAAGAAAGTAAGTAAATTAATCTAATTCACTCTAGGAAGAATACTAAAATATCTACTGTAAGGCTTGAGCTATCTACTAACTTTAATTATTTTCTTTTTACTTAATAGGTGGAGAATATGGGAGAGGAATAAACCTAAGCCTGTTCAGTGTAAGGAGTAGTTAAACTGGACAGAGGAGGAATGGATGAGAGTGGTTTGGACTAATGAGTCCAATTTTAGCACTGCTGAGTTCTCCCATAGGCCTCGGAGAACTTGCCTCCCTGATGAAGAGTTCCACCCAGACTGTATCGATGAGGTTCATCAGCAAAAGTTTACCCTGCATCGGGTGCGTTGGCCCGGAGTCCTGATGGATGTCATGTACCATCTGGGTCCCCTGCATCCTGAGCCTCTGATATTGTATGGCAACACCCCGCGCATCATGTGCATCTCATGTTGCCACCCTCTGGTTCTTTACGCCTGGTGCCTCTGGGCCCTCGCTACTACATCGCTCAGACGTCCTGATAATGTCCTGTGTGCCCCCCGCCCTTATGCCCTGTCATGGTAGAACCTCCCACAAATTGCCCAGTACCTAAGTTCTGACGCTTTACTTATGTCCTTTGTTCTCTGAAGGGTGCTGCACATCGCCGCTCTTGGTTGAACTGCGTCTTGTTCCGCACGTAAGTTCTCTGATGCCGTCCTACGCACCCGCAAACCCCATTTCCCACTCTCAACGTAATTATCTTAACCTCCCCTCTCAATTACATCCTGATGTCTCATTGTTGTTCCCACATTGCCAGGAGGTTACAACAAGGCGACACCAATTCGAGTTCGTCCGCCAGTGGTTTCTGTGTTATGTTCTCTCGACATCTGATGTCCATCCCATGAGGGGTTTTGCATCCTTTGCCACTGATGGCCACCTAGACATCCTTGGGCCCTAGTATCTACACTGGAACTTATCATTCTTGATATCTCTACTTCCCTAATTCTCTAGTTAAAATCTCGATCCTGTATACTTTAGTTTAAATATTACTCTTCTATTATTTCTACGTAACCTCCACAGCCCTACGCGCCCTGCATCCCATGTTATCTTTATCTCGGCCCCGACATGGTGTCGAGATATTGCCAATTCTAATGCCCACATAATTGCGGAGATTTCGTCTGACACTGTTACTCGATGTCAGAGCAGCGACATCAGGCGAAATCTCCTCTTTTTTTAATTACACACTTGAAATGTCTTCACGAATTAATAGTGGCCCCTGGAGTGCAATATCCTGGTTTGTCGAGATGGCACAGTTTGATCAGGTAATTTTTCAATAGATTGCATTGAACGTCCTTAAATCTATCTGACTGTTGATGAGCCATCACCCATCCACCTCGGGGATTAGGTGGGCCGGGCCTCGCATAGTGCCAATGTCCACTACCGTAAACCTCTGCAGATCCAGTGTCTTCAGCAGCTCTACAGTGACAAGATCATGTAACTCTAATGGGCGTCCAGAGTTTAGTGTATTCAATACCTGAACACCTGCCAGACGGTAGACTATATCTTGGTGCCAGTAGTCACGGAGCTTGAAGAGTGTAATGAGTTTTCTGGGCAGACGACTCCATAGTGCACTATACATTTGCTCCCTACCAATCTATATTCAAACTCAATCGTTGTGACTTGCCCCATTTCAGAAGAGCTTGGTGCCCATACATTGTGCCCGGTCGATGTCGTAAATATTGGTTTCCTGGAACACTAGAACTGGGATTTCAAGTTGCATCAATTGTTCAATGGGGAGGCGTCAAAGTATTCCGGGATCATCAGGCAAGCAGTACTTAAAGGGCAAGAACTACCTACTATATCGAACCAATTCAATACACATATTGTCGCTCGAGATGCCCAAGGCTGTCACGAATATAGCTTGGCGAGGAAAAGGTTTTCATATGACACATTGTTATGAGTCACAGGTATATTATTGTTTCACACATATGACTCATTTGAGTCATATGATTTGTTATGTATGGGATTTGTGATGCTTTCGCACATGGCTCAAATATGAGTCATGAGAGTGCGCCTGGCGAGTATGCCTTGCGAGTACGCCTAGCGAGTATGTCTTGTGAGTGTGCCTTGCAGGTAGGCCTGGCACATATGATTTATGTTTCGCATATGACCTCGTTCTGAGGTCATAGATTTCACGCATATGACTCAGTCGAGTCATATGACTTGTTTATTGTGTTATGATTGGTTTATGAGTTTTGCACATGACCTTGTTATGAGGTCATGGGTTTTGAGCATGTGACAACCTTGGTCACATGACTAGTTTATTATGATTTGATTTCGCATATGTGACCACTTTGGGTCACATAACTACAGGCGGGAAGAACACTATATAAGGAGGCCGATGTGGCCAAGGAGGATAGGTTCTTCACGCTTTGTTCTAAGTACTTTTCCTACTTATTACTTTAACGAATATAAAACACCTTTACAATCTTTATCTTTATTGCAACGTTATTGTTATACCAAGGAAAGCTCTTTACGAAGAAGAGTTAGAGAGACTTACGATAGGCGTTCCCAATAGAAGACAGAAGTCTTGTACTATCGGTAACATAGGTAAAGGCCTAACGCTATTGTAAGAGAAAGAAGAGGAGAAGAAGAAAAGAGAAGTATTGTTCCCCATCGCCAAGACCTAACCATCCATGGAGGGATTATTATAAAGGCTTTGTACAAATTACTGAGGTGGATAATATCTCTATGATACTCCTTGAGGGCCCGACAGCATGTCAGTTGTGGGAATTCTGTACTCATTTTGTCCAAAAGATCCATGACCTCCGTAAGGATGTCAGCTCCGGAACGTCGTATGGCATCTAGGTTCAAAAGTCTCATTCGGATCGCGTAGTATCGTATAACTCTAGAGGATCTGCTGCACAGCATCATTTTTATTTGAATGTCGCCATCCATCTTTTATCTGCTCCTTATGCGCTAACTCACCAAACTCAGTAGAATA